AAAAAAAATAACCGGAAAAAAAAAAAGAATTCATGCTGTTAATGCTTAAGCTCATAAATCATATTCATTCTTTTGTGCATGTCAGAAAAAAACGTATACACCAATACAAAATTACTGTTATCTTAAAATTTCATTTAGTCAGTAAATATTATCTATATTCCAATGCATGTATATAGCGAACACGTCTCAACCAATCTGCTTCTGATAGGAACTTGGGTCATTTCTCAACTTTCTTTTATCCAAGACATCTCAATGGCTAATTATTTACACACATTCTTATTCAATATTTCTTTAGGGGAAATACAGAAATGCTGCATTTCTGGGCCAAAGCACCTGAAAGAAAGATGGTGCCAGTCATGTAAGCAAAAGTTCTTGGCGACTCGGCACACCCCCATCACTGTTTCTCATTCCTTTGCACATAAGGGAAAAATGCTTCCTCATTACACCTTTGAAGAATTTACTTGACCATGATTAGGGTCCTGAACATTACCTTCGACTTACTGGGCCACTAACATTCTTTAAGAAAACTGCCTGTTAAGTCGTTTAGTGTGTGACTATTATTATTTGGCATTCCAAAAGTATTGTACCCTATCCCCCTGGTAACAGTTTTTTTGGACATATGATCCATGTACCACAACCAATTTTGGATCATGTTCTTCATTCTCTGCTCATTACTGTACACATTTAACTGATTATTAGTTCCCCATTACAAAATGGTTGTGGTGATGATTGGACAACTCTGTATGGTACATGGAGGTAGATTCAAGTCTAAAGCCGTGGGACCCTATTGTGGGATGGGTTTGGACTATGGGTTTCCTCAGTTATAAAATGGAAAATAATCAATGACTGCTCACGGATGCTGCCAAGTTTATGGGAAATGCAAAGTCCATGCTTCAATAGAGGGTTAAAAAAAAAAAAAAATCAAGCTTCAAAAGGAGACCTAACCAATTTACACAAAATAACCACAGCGGCACCAGGTGAAGGTGGCTGCTGATTCCAAAGCCAGCAGTTTGAGCCCTCGAGTTGCTCCACCAAGGCTGCAGCCTGGGAAACCCTCGGCCCTGCCCTCTCAGGGTCACAGTGAGTGGGTGCTGACTGGATGGCAAGCACCCACAGGCACCCCCACAGGCAGCCTGCCCGGAACGGAGGCTGACCTTTTCTTCTAGGAATGGTGTGTTAACAGGAAAACAGGACCAGAAGTGCCGCAGAAGTTCTCCAACAGCCACGTACAGATGCTTCAATTCAGACTGGATGTCATTTGGCACCATCTCTGCAATGGAAGAGGCCCACAGGACGAAAGCTAGTATCACAGGAGCATACTTTCTGAAAAATGACCGCTCAAAGAGGCTAAATCTAGAACCACTACCCTTGACATATGACAAACGAAGACAAGCAACTTTGATGTAAATCACTGATTCTGTGGCTGAGATCACAGAACTTGAAATTCCTTGGGATTTTTCTGGGGGATAATGGTATTTAATTTTACTTTCTATTGATGTGATAACTAACGATAATAAACCCCGCCCCCACCTCCTCTCAAACAATTTTATTAGGACCTAATCCAGACACCAGACCATTCTATAGTCCAGTCATACCCTTGGGATTTCTGAGAAACTTTCAGGTTCCTTGATCTGTTCTAACAGGTATGGGAGGAGAAAAGAGCCACAATACAATATTGCTATGATATACTAGAACAAGGTGACAGTTTGTAACCATAAAACGATTCTGAAAACTGCTTTTATCTAGATATATTTCAGTGTCCAGATAGGTAAACACAAATATCTCCCTCTATAGATCCAAGAAATACTCCAAAGGGGAGAACAATCCCCCCCGCAACCACCTCAAAATAAATACCCCTCCGAACTTGCTCCTAGAGCTCTGACAGCACAAGTGGTCCGCACGTACGGTTTATGGCTTGCTGTGTCCCTCCCTGCATAAGGGCTCCTCCAGGTGACAGGGCTGTGATGGTACTACTAGCAGCACTACTTGAGAGAACCTGAAAGAAAATAAAACACAGAAACGGCTTTCATTTTTTCACTTTTGGCATCTTATTCAACATTTCAGTTTTACTGCAACATTTTAAAACATGCAAGTCTTGCTGCACATCATTTATAGCAACCAGAGTGAACTGCTTTGCATTAGGCTACAATCTGTCTAGAAATAAAGTAACCACAAGTCTTCCAGCACCTGTCAAATCCACATACTTTGCTAGTGTTGCTTCTGGCTCAGTGACTATGGACCAGAACTACCCTCCAGGGTCCCCAAGGCTGTATTTTCCACAGAAGTATATCATTACATCTTTATCCCATGGAGCCACTCAAATTCTTATAACTCAAGGTAAAGGAACATACTTTAACATGTACCTTTGATCGCAGTTAGAAAACTGGGGGGAAAAAGAAAAAGAAAAATCCAAATAGCAGAAACATGTTGGAAACAATATTGACTATCAATATTTAGGGACATAACCCACCTACTAATTTAATGGAAAACTACTAAGTGCCAGGGACTTCAGCTACTTGAGAAAATCATTTGTAGAAGTTTGAGCACAAGTGAGAGTTTCATGAGCACACAGCCTGTGTGTGAGCGAGCTGGACTAAGGAAAATAAGCTACCATCAGGGAGATGGCACACACCATCGCAAATCAAGATCACGTGGAAGCTCACTTTATTTTATCCCTATACCCCTTCCACTGGTGGCTGAGCTTATCCAGGAGCCACCAAATTGCCACCAGGCACCAGTAACAGGACAGATAACTTTATTTTTTCCTGTGAAAAAATAAAGGTAAAGTACTTAAAATTGACCATGATTTAAGAGTTAAGAGGGTCTACTTTGGTGCTAGGACAAGAAAGAAGTGGTGAAATAACTCCATTAATTGTGTGTGCACGCACACACACACACACACACACATTTACTAGCTTTGTCTGCTAAGGAAACACCCGCGGTGATGCAGAAAAAGCTCTAGGCTGTTTGAACCCACAAGCTGCTGTGTGGACAAAAGAGACGGCTATCTGATTCCATAAGGCTTTACAGTCCTGAGAGGGGTGTCATGAGTCAAACAGACTTGAGGGTAGTGGGTTTGGTTTTAAAACTGAAAGTATAATTTATTTAGCACAAATATGTGTTTAAGTCTAATGAAAAGATCAGTTGTATAATTCAATCTGATTTTGCTTATAAGCTGAAGAAGGAACTATGGAAATTCTGGTCTCCAAAGAGTACCTGTTACTTACCTGAGTTAGTTTGGGTGTGTAAGCTTCCATTTCTTGTCTAATACTTTGAAAAGAACTAATAATGTCCTGACTTGTTGCATACTGTAGTGACTGGATTGGAGTTGGACCATGATAATACCTGAAGGTCAACACAGAAGAAATGACCAATCACATAAAATAAAGGTGCGCAACATCTGCCTTCAAACACAGTGATCACTATCAAGTTTTCTAAAACAAAACACTATAACGAGAATGAAATAATTTTACAAGGTTCTAACATAATGATCTAAATTTTATCTTCTTGACTTTGATCATTTAGGATCCTTGTCTGAGGCGCACAATGATAAAATGATTAAAATACAAACACTTAAACTTTCGGAATATATTCTGCACAGAGCTGTTACATATCACCTTCAAAGTACTCTACATTACACTAACACATCTGTCGAATCTGCGACTTCACTCTTGCCTAGCAAGAAAAATGTGTAGTATGTAAGCTTCGCCCAGCAGAGCTTTTTGCTGTGTTCTTTTTTCTTTCTTTTTATATCTTGGGGGGGGGACGGGGACGGGGACGGCGGTACCCCTGTATTCTGGTTCAAATTAATCTAAACTTACCTATCGGACTTCTTAAGGTTTAGAGCAATTGTTTTTATGGAATTATTTTTTCCCAAGTCTTCATATTCAATGGCCTCTTGCAACTTTGCCTACAATTAACAAAACACCAGTTGTCAGTAACTGTACCTGACACAGATAATGAACATGACAGGGGAAAAAAACACACATAAAGCTACAGAAGGGTATAAAACAAAGTCTTCCCACATGAGCCCAACTGTCTCGAGATGAAAACAACAGAACCAAACCAATTAATAGACTCATGTATTTATGAAGAGTACCTGTTTTCCCACAGTTCCACCACACTAATTATTACTGACCTTCTAATTATTGCCAATCTGGTAGTTGAGCCTTTTATCTTACTGCTTTACCCCCAATTAACAATTTAGTCACACTTTCTACAATTTTCTAATGGATGTACCTGTCTTAGGGGTGGCTGGGAAGGATTGGGTTGTAGAAATTCTGAAATTCTTAAGGAACTTATTTCTTTATTATGTTACAAATTATTTTTTTTCCAGACGGTTTTAAAATTTTAACTATAAAAAGCTACCAGTCTTTTATTTAAAAAAATTTTTTTTAAAACTTTTTTGCTAAAAGCTTGGATCCGCCTGAAATTATTTTGGAATAAGGATAAGGTAAGTAAGCTGTCTCTTTTTATTGCATGATGAACCAGTCATTCTGACATCATTTGTGGAATACTGTCTTTCCCCACCAATTTTGAAATGCCATGTTTAGCAACAATTCTTCTCAGTGTCTGGGTGTACTTCTGGTTTTACTAATTTGTCTTCTTCTGTGTTAGTAAACAAATTGCTTAGATGTATATAACTTTTTAATAAAAACACAGTAATTTTAAGTCACTTCAAGACAATACACAAGTATTTTTAAAAATCAATTCTGTAATACGAGGGGTAGTCCAAAACAAAACAAAAAGCACATCCCCCCCCCCCCAAAAGCTATGTATTTAATACAAACAACCTTATCACCTTCAAAGTACTCTCCATTACACTTAATACATTTGTGACATTTGCGATTCCATCTTGGAAACATGTTTCAAATTCATCTGTTTGAAAGGCTGACAGCACCTCCCTCACTTTTTTCTTCCTCTCTTCTACATCATCAAATCACTGTCCTTTCATGTCCCTCTTCATTTGGGAAAACAAAAAGAACTCGCACTGAGCAAGATCAGGTGTGTGGGTTAAGAAAAGTATGCTGTTTTTTCCCAAAAACTGGTGCACTGAGATGGCTGTGTGAGCAGGTGCATTGTCGTGGTGGCAAAACCAGTCCCCTATATGCCACAAATCAGGACTTTTTTGCCACACAATGTTATGCAATCTTTTCAGAACCTCTAAATAGAAAGCATGATTAACAGTCTGACCTGGTGGAACGAACTCCAAATGCACTATGAGTTGACATTTTGGGAAGCTGACAGACATCCAGAATGATGTTTGTCATCAATTGGCATTTCACTTTTTTTGGTATGAAAAAACCACTCGTACACTTGACTTTTCCCCATACCACTGTCCTTGTAAGCCCTGTTCAACTTCACAACATTTTCTGCAGCATTTTTCCCAAGCAGGAAACAAAATTTCACAGCTACTCGTTGTTCTCTTAAAGTGGCCATCACAAAAATGGAGGTTTGAGCGAAACTGCTTTTACAAAAAAATTCGCTGTGACCAGAGATAACACTCCCCTTCCCAGGCGACGCCACTGGGTACACTAACTCAGGGAGTTGCTTGATGCTTGCCTAGCGTGAAAAATGCGTACCATAAAAACACCACTCCACTCAGCGCAATTCAGTGTTTTTGGTACCCCTCATATATCCTTTACATGACTATGAAATTCTTTTCATTTGTCAATTTTCATTTGTACCCATCAAGCTTTCATAAAAACACGTATGTTACTAAATGTACTTCAAAAAGATCAATGTGAAACTTACTATTTTGGATTGCTCAAAGTTTATGTCCAAATAGTTCCTGTACAGTATAGGAACAAACCTAGAGCTTCAGCATGGCAGCCAAAGGCTAACACATCAATCAACCTTACTTTACTTAGTCAGTCATACATATTCTTTCAAGTCAATACGTGCCACCCAACTCCAAGCACATCACGTCTGCACTGCTGCTCTCTTCCCTAAGACGTACGTCCCCCACTCAGCGGCCGTAATAGTGCAAGTCCAAAACCTCGACTTCTGCCACGACTAGTCAGGTTATGCCAGACTAAATCACAAGTTCCGTAAGCACATGGACCCTTTCACTAAGACTTCTGAACAGAGTTCTACGTAATCTTTGTAATTAATTATTGATTTGAAAGATTATTTAAGGCTAGCACCTCTTATGAAAATTCAGAGAGAAAAAAAGATTATTGAAAATTTTTTCACAACCAAGAGTGGAGTACTTTAATACAACAGTACTGAAAAAGCATCACTTCTGAGATTGCTTCATTTTTTAAATAACACTTTAAAAATACTAATGACATTTAACTACTGAAACATATCAAGCAGAAAATTTTATTTATTTTTTTAAGCAGAAAATTTAAAAGCCGCCATAATCTCTTTACCAAAATATAATCATTTAGCATATTCTTTTGAAGGCCCGTTAAAATTTCGAATACTTAAAAAAAATGTAGTATTACAGTTTATAACATTTTGTGTACTTTTACTTAATTTATCATTAATCCTGCAGGTTATTAGGGGCATTAAACTTTACAAAATCAGGTGTCCCTTGAATTATACACATGTACCTTGGATATTATTTCTAATACTGCAATGAAGATGTATATTTATATCTTTGCACATCTTTAAATGTCCACAAGTAGAAAGCTGATAGATAAAAAGGCATAAACATTTAATATTTTGATCTATAATACTAGGAAGTATTAAATACTAAGCAGCAGTATTTTAGCTATTTTTAATAGCTATTATCATTTTTAGCTATATTTTTAGACATAATGGCTTTCTAAGCACATTTTACTATAATTTGATTTTGAAATAGGAGAAAGGACAAACACTTGAAGTAAGAAATGTCCAAGTAGATACCTCTCTCTGTCCATACTCCCCATTCTATATGAATTCTTCAAGATTTAATGTGAAGATATTTCTAGCTCTGAAATAATAGGGACAGATTACTTGAAAGCTGAATGGCAAGTCACGCTAAGGAATCCTCTTTTATTTATTTATTTTTTAAAAATCATTTTATTGGGGGCTCGTACAACTCTTATCACATTCCATTCATCCATTGTGTCAAGCACATTTGTACATATGTTGCCATCATCATTCTCAAATCATTCGCTTTCTACTTGAGCCCTTGGTATCAGCTCCTCAATTTTTTCCGAGGAGTCCTCTTTAGAAGGCTCCAGTTTAATCTGAATACTGAGTAGCTGGGTCAGAAGAATGAAGTTATATGCAACAATGATGAGTTAGCATAAAGCACTAGTAGTTGTATAAGGCAGTGGAGAAATATGTGTCCTAACTGGTCCAGACTTTTGCCCTTACCCTTTTGACTGCTGGCTGAAAGCAGTCTGCATCTCGGGAATTCCCATCCATGCCGCTGGGTTCACCGTTTTGTTCATTTTGTGCTTCTCTTAAAACAAAGAGGGATGGGAGAGGGGAAATAAATGTCAAAAAGCCACAAGCAGAACACCACAATTCCATTTGGATATTTGGAAAAGTCCAGCTATTGTGCCTTTGCATGTGTACTTAACTGTTTCTGGAGACCTGCTGCTAAGACCATGGCACTGTGATGGTTAAATCTCTTGATAATGGCAGCATTACTATTCTCCTTGATGGATTTAGAATTGGAAGTAGATGGCACAGAAGAAATGCCATAGCCCTATGAGAAAAAAAAGTAGTAGATTAAAAATAATGTTCTGATTTGTCTATTGCAATAGATGCTTCGAATTCCCAGATCCTAGAATTAGATGCAAAGAATTCCCAAGATGAAAAGACTAAGACCATATATACTCGAGTATAAGCTGACGCAAATATCAATAAAGGCACCTAATTTTACCACAAAAATGCATTAAAAATGTGCTGAAAAACTCGGCTTATATGAGTATATACGGTAATTTTCATGAGCATTGCTAAATACTTGTAGGCAAACATTAAAAAATAACTAATGTTCTGCACATAAAAAATTATAAACTATTACTTATTCCTCTTAGCATCACAAGGAAAAATAATCTTAAACTCTACATGTTTCCCCCGAGTTAGTTAATTGTGCCAGCCTGGCCGATAATCACATGTGGGTCTGGTTGAAAGGCGGAGGGATAAATGGGTGGTGAAGCCTCGCCTTTCTAGTTCTCGGGTCTCTTGTTTTTTGATGGTTGCACTGGGTGCAGCTGCCTTAGCAGTTCCCTGCTTCAGCTTGCAAGATGGATTTCCTACAAGACATCCCCAAGGAGAAGCCGCATGGATCTATCCCGATGCAGCCCTGGGTGCTGGAGCAGCCCTGTGGAGACCCCTGCTAGTGCTGAGATGCTTACACGTTCACTGACTCAGCTTTCCTCCTGCAGTCGGCATTATTGCCTCTGTTTTGTGAGGTGAAGGACTTTGTGGACTGGTGTTGGGTATGGGTTAATGTTGGACTTGTGGGCTTGGGCAGCATTGGGTTGGGATGTTTTCGTGATGTACATTTTCTTTGCATAAAGCTCTCTCTTATACATGAGTTGCTGTGGATTTGTTTCTCCAAAGTACCCAGACTAACACACCCCCTTTCTTAAAAGTAACTATTGATCTTCTGAAGAAATAGGTCACAGTGAAGAAAGAACAGAACCCAACTTGACCGTACACTCTGCAAAGCTAGAACTCAAATTTTGGCTTTTATAATTTTTTCTAAAACAGGTCTGCTGCTTTTTACCTACAGTGACCTTCTAGTTTACAGAATAGAACTACCAAGGTGTCCTGGTTTTAATAGTAACAGAAATAGATCACCAAGCATTGGGTTCAAGCCATTTGGCCATGTAGAGACCTTAACGTAAATCTAGCAAATTAATTAACCCACTTCAGTGCTGTACAACAATGAGGATGAACTGAAATTTTACAAAGTTGGTAACACCCTAGCCCTAACAACCCACTGCCATTGCAGATTTAGGCTAAGCTCGGCCCTATTGGACAAAATGGCTCCCACAGGGTTTCTGAGGCTGTGATTTTTATAGAAGCACACTGCCTCAGATTTCTCGCAAGGGGCAGCTCATGGGTTTGAACTGCTGACCTTATTGTTAGTCTTCACTGCTTACCCAAAAATTCCACCTGGGCTCCTAAGATCTGCCATGTGCTAAAGATATTTCTGCCTCAGAGCTTACATTGTTTTGAGGGATTACTGAAATTATCAAGTACAACAAGTTCTAAAAAGAACATTTGGAACTGAGAGGCCATTGGGGTCTGGTTTATGATAAGGGAAAATGGCCCCAACTTGAGGTAGCAGTAGGCAAGGTCCAGTGAAGCAGGGCATTGTATAAGTTTGGGTTATATTCTAAGTTCAATTAGAAGCCACCAAAAACAAACAAACACAAAAAACAACCCAAAAAGAAAGAAGCCACTGAAGAGTATTACTGAGAACATTGTGATCCAATTTGTAACTTACTGCTAGGGGAGAATGAGCAATAGACAAACGAAAAAGAGGAGGGAGGTCAGTTAGGAGGTTAACTCAAGCCGCCAAACCAAGGATGGTGGAAACAGGAAGGTGAAAGGTTGTCTGAAAACCTTCAGAGAAGCAGACAGATCAAAGATGGATTGTAGAAAATTGGTTGATAAACTGGATGTTGGAGGTGAGAAATGGGGGAGAATCATAAAGACTTATGGGTTTTTGGCTTAAGCAACCAAGTCCATGGTAATGCTTTTACTGCAATAGCAAAGACCTGGGGAGAAACCGGTTTATAATCATAGGAATTAAAGGTTCCATTCTGGACATGTTAAGGTGCAATGTCTGAATAAACATTTAATAGGAAATACCAAGCAAACAGCTGGAGATAGGATTTTGGGACTGTGGGGTGTGGGAAACAGAAAGATTTCTCCCAAGTTGTCTCCCCCAAATATATCCCAAACTCAGCTGCTTGCTATACGTGGAGAATGATGATACACTTGGGAGGTCAACAAAAGTAGGTCAGGGGTTATTCTCCCTAGGGGTTATCAGCCACCCAGAGCAAGCAGACACCACTGTTTATCTCATAAGTAGGACCCACTCCTTCTGATAAGGATAGTAGTTGACTACAGTATTTCCTTGTAGTAGACCCCAGGGAGGTCAAGCCCACCGAAGGGTGACCAAGGTTAGGCCACCATCATGAATCTAGGGTCCGCCCTTCTTGTCACATGTATATCCCTAGTCCCTCCCCTTCCTATCAAATGTACACCCCAAGCTCATCCCCTTCCTGCCACACTTAAGCCTATTGTACAGCCCCTTCTTATGATGTGTATGCCTATTGTACAGCCCCTTCCTATGATGTGTATGCCTATGTACTGCCCCTTCCTGTGATGAGTGGTTACCTGTAATCACGCCTCCCCCCACCCCCCTTAGTAGATATAACCCTTGGTTAGCAGTAAATGGGGTCCTCCAGCCTCCTGCTGGGTCTCTGCCCCACCTCGTCTCCGCCCAGGCTATGCACCGACCTGGCTGGTAAGATCATGGCCATCCACGAGGTGAGCATGCTACCATGAAAGGTGTCTGACTCCATTATTTCAATCTCTCTTCTATCCCTCATCCTCTCTATGACTTTATTATAATCTTTATATATCTCAACCGTACAATTGCGCTTACTGAACCCGTGATTAGTTGGAGGGGGGTTGGCATTTCCCCCCACACAGCGGGGTTAAAGCTAAAACAACTCTATTGCTATTCATTCTGACGCACAGCACCCCTGGCAGGGCAGAATAGGACTGCCTCCACGTTTCCAAGGTTGTGAAACTTCATGAAAGCAGAATGCCATCTTTCTCCCTCGAGTGGCTGCTGGGTTTGAACTGCCAGCTTCTCAGTTAGCAGCTGAGCACTTAACCCCTGTACCAGCAGGACTCCTTTAGGAGTTAAGATAGACCAGTGTTATTTGGGAGCTGCGTTCCATAAAATTCACAGCAGTGGAATAGAGAGGATGCATTCGGAGGGCCCAACTATAGTCCAGGACAGGTACAACGTTTGGAGGATGGTAAGGGAAGAGGTGACAGGGGATAGAGAAGCTCTGGTGGCAGAGTAGGTTGCTAAATGTAGGTCAGCAGTTTGAAAGCAGTTGCTCCTTGGCAGAAAAGCTTTCTTTTTGAAGCTTTCTGCTCCCATAAAGATTTGAAGTCTTAGAAACCCACAAGGGCAGTTCTTTGTCCTTTAGGGTCACTGAGCTGGAACACCTTGATGGAAGTGAACCTGGATTTTTTTTTTTTTTTTTTGAAAGAAGAGTCACCAAACATCAATCAACACACATTTCTAATAAGGAATTGCTTAAATGTTAACAAATCCAAACAGTGAAAAACCATGCGGGCTTGGGGTAGAGACCCAAAGCCCATCTGTAGATAATTAGACATCCCCTTACAGAAGGGCCACAAGGAAGGGATCATTCAGCCAGGGTGCAGTATAGCCCTGACAAAACACACAACACTCCTCTAGTTCTTGAACACCCCCCGCCCCTACTATCATGACTTCAGTTCTACCTTACATATCTGGTTAGACCAGAGTAAGTACATTGGTACAGATAAGAGTTCGCTGAATCCAGGACAGATAAACCCCTCAGGAACAGTAGTGGGAGTGGTGATACCATGAGGGTCGGGTGGGGGGTGGGGGGGAGAGTGAGGGGGGGAGAGTGAGAGAGCGAGAGCGAGAGCGAGAGAGAGAGTGTGTGTGTGTGTGTTGGGGGGGTGGTGGTGGTGTGTATTGGGGGAGAAAAGGGAATTGGTCACAAGGTTGGATATAACTCCCACACTTGAGGGGGACAAATAATAGAAATGTGGGTGAAGAGAGACAATGGACAGTGTAAGATATAACAATAATAATATATAATTGATCAAGGGGTCACAAGGGTGGGGGAGGGGGGAAAATGAGAGCTGATACCAAAGTCACAAGTAGATATACATTGTCTTGGGAATGATGAAGACAACATATGTACACGTGGTGCTTGATATAATTGGATTAAGGATTATTATAAGATCTGTTAAGAGCTCCCAATAAACTGATTAAAAAAAAACCACCCAGCATGCAGGCATTACAACATGCAGATGATAATGGTAACAGCATTATTCATTGAGCACTTAGAACCTACCAGGGGCACGCACAATCGTAGCAGGCTGACACTATTATATATATGCTCATTTTATAAGAAAACTCAGTAATAGTGGCTACAAATTAGCAGCATTCAGGCCAGTTTCATCTTATAGCTGATGTGAACAATTACAGTAATTTTAGCTTAGACTAATATTGATAAACAAAAGACAAAGAAAATTACAAAAGTGCATGCACAACACACCATTATTTTTACTTAAAAATAAACAACAAAAAGCATGGGGGGGGGGGGATTCCCATTGCAATAAGCTTCATCTCCTTAGGATGATTAGGAAAGCACACTTGTAATGTGTTGAGGTTCACCAAGGACATGACTAAAAGTCACCAAGGAACTGACTGACCTAAGCATCAAACATTGTTCTGTAATTTATAATTAGATTGTAGCACAACATTTTAACAATGGCTTTTCTTAATTAACATGCACCAATGTAAGGGGAAAAGGGTGTGAGCAAGTTTCTATGACCAGCAGGAAAGAAACCCAAAGAAGGAACACAAATATACTAACCCACATTCTCTGCCATCAGTCAATGAGATTCACAGTGACCTCATTGGACAGAGTAGAACTGCCCCTGCGGGTTTCAGAAGCAGAAACGCTCTTGTGTCCCAGAGAACGGATGGATAATGGGTTGGAACTGCTGGCCTTGTGTTATGTAACCTAAGGCGTGCACTCCCAGGGCTGCTTTAAGAAGAGTGAGAAAATGAAAGCATGCCAGTGAAGGGAAATGTCCTAGGGATAGGAGAAAGAGGTAGATACAATAGTTTCCCTTTTTGATGATTTTGTTTCTTTTTCTGTCCTTAATATGGATCTACATTCATTAGAGCAAGTGTAGGCTGAAGCGTGAAGCTGGCCTCATTAACAAGTTGTCTTCATTATGACTTGGAGAAATGCCAACAGTGGAGGTAGAAAATTCTTTAAAAAAAACAAATTACTAGTTCATATGAGAATTTCCATTTTTGAAGGCAATTTTAAATGCGAAAGATACTACTGAAAAGTACTCTGACAAGTCACTGCGAACATCTGAGGTCCGTTTGTTTTGCTTTCGTTTAAGTGTGACATTTGCACCTAAAGCAATTTAAAAATTGAAATTCTTGAAGACCAGGAAAGGACTTTTCAGATACATCAGTGTTTCCCAAATGGGTAACACCTCCCTGTGAACAACCCAGGGGGACTGCAAAAACAGATGTGTACATTTTATCGGGGATTATGGGCTATGGTACGAAAGTTTTTAGGGGGGAGGGAGGGGAAAAATGAGCAAATGATATTGAGGGCTAAAGTAGAGGGCAAATGTGAGATTGATGAGGGCAACAGGTGTACATATGTGCTTGACTCAATGGATGTATGTATGGTGTGTTAAGAATTGTACGAGCCCTCGATAAAATAATTTAAAAAAAAAAAGAATAACGAGGGTAACAAACGTACAAATGTGCTTTATACAATTGATGTATGGACTGTGATGAGTTGTATGAGCCCCCAATAAAATGACTCTAAAAAAAGTTTTTAATTGCCAAGGGATGCTGATTACTTTTTTTCTGGCAAGGGGTGGCAAGTCAAATAAGTTTGGAAACGTAGGTGATAAATTCTTTCATGCTTCTTACCTCATCTAACGGCTTATCTTCCAAAGCTGTTAAATCCAGGAGTGGGTTTTTCACTCCTAATGAAACCATTGTTTTTAATCCTAGAAAATCAACAACAAAAAAAGTTGATCCAAGCCTTAACTTTGCCAGAAATTAAAAAGAAAACCAACCAACCAGTGGCTCAAATGATGAGAGACCATAGTGCAAGTGTCTCAGGGAGAAAAAAAATTACCTTTTTCATCTATTTTGGCACATTCTGCAAATAGGTCTTTTGACCCTGAATTCAGTCGATCCCGGTGAAAATAATGGGACTGGAAGAAACGTGTCCAGAATTCCTTTTCTGTCATGTTGTGGGGGACATTTTCTGCATATTTCATTTTTACTAGGGGAATAAAAAACATCACCAAACCAAAAAAATCAGCCATTTATGGAGTTTTCATTTTTCAAAAGCTCAAATTAGACAATGAAAATACAGACAAGTAGCAAAACTGGGTTATGAATCCTGTCATATATTCTAATCTAATGATGAAGATGAACCACCATTTGAGAGATTAGGGAACGAATCTTGAAAAATCATGAACTGACTGCACCAGGAGAGTTAGTAAGGTTAGCCACCACACCAAGTACATATGTGTCAAGAAGTATGTATGTCTGGTGTCAGACTCGCCGAGTTGGCTTGCTCACTCATTTCCACCTGTGTCCTTTTCCTGGTCACTGTTGTTAGGTGCTGGAAATGAAAAGCCCGTTACACTTTCTGGACTGTAGATGCACGCAGTTCTTTAGAGGCTTGTTCAAAGCCTGGGCACAGGTTCAAAGCACAGTTTCTTGAGTTCCAAGTTCTAGCTCAGTCACTTACTGTCTGTGTGAAATAATTCTCTCTACATCTTGATTTACTCATTTATAAAAAAGGGGCAGCAATAACACCTACCTCACAGAATTACTATGAAGATTAAATGAGTTAATAAGACAAAGTTCTTTCAGCAGTGTCTGGCAAGTATAATGTATTACGCTGTGTGCCAAGCCGATTCTTAGTTGTCATCCTAAAGGACACAGCAGAAAGCCCCACAGGGCGCTGAAGCTGTCCTCTTTGTAGAAGCACATCACCAGGCCTTTTCCCCCGTGGAGTTGCTGGGTTGATTCAAATGGCCAGTCTTTGGGTTAGCAGTCCATTGCTTACCTTCTGAGCCCTCAGGGCCCATTAGACACTGTATAATTATGATATTCTCAGGGCAATATGGAAATACCAACAATACAGTGATAACAGGCAAACACCAGTTGTGTGAGGAAGTCAGGCTTTTGCAGGGGTGGTAATGAAGTGATGCTTGAGCTGAGCTTTTAGGGACAGAGGTTTCCTAATGACTATAGATGCAGGCGTGCGACGAGGGAGCAGCATATAGTGGAGGAACACTTTGCAGAGTTGAAAAGAAGACTGAAGTAGGGTTGGCCACATCGCATAAAGCACTAGGGCTGGGATCAAGAAATGTATCCTTTTAGGGTGGTTTTTGGCACAGGAAACAATTTATGGGTTAGATAGTTCACTCTGGAGGTAGCCTGAAGGATGATAAACATTAGTGCTACCCACTGACTCAAGTTTTATGAATGCCTCTGGACACATTCTGTCTCGGGTATGCTGAGGGCTTCGGTTTAGGAATCACTCATGGAAAGACTGGCAGTGACATCAGTGAACCGATAACAGGACATCCTTTATACAGTGTCAGCCATTTATCAGGTCAAGGTACTTTATAAAGAGTCTTGTACTTAACCAGAAACAAATATAAAGCCTTTCGTTTTTCCCATGGATATACTATAGAACTCATCAAAAACAAACATCTGAATTACATGGAAGAAATGATTCCTCTTACCTGCCGGATAGGTCCTAAATATGGACTCAATGATATCGGTGGTTAAATTGTATCTCAGACCATTACAGCCATCTGTTTGAGGCCGGACATCAGCCTAAAATAAAGACCACACATTACTCAGGACACCAGGGGAAGATATCTATATTCCCCAATCCTTTCTGAGTAACATGCAGGGACAGTGTATCCTTCAGCTTTACTCTGACAGAGACAAGGCTCAATGATTGGCCTGGTTCACACAGCTTTAGGGATCCGTACAATCAGTTTATCAGAATCCAATATGGTCAAATGGGTCTCAGCGTAGTCCAAGGTACAGACAGTGGAGTTTTAACCTTAAACTTCGGTAGTTAACAAAACTACCACCAACCCTGGTTACTGAGAAATTACATTGACATTATGTGGTTTTAGAAAGTTACCAAACACAAAATTCATATTAAAATATACTGCATACACCTAAAAAATACTTTATAATGGATACAGAATTTGCCATTGATTTAAGGAAACGTTGAACCTTATAGAATGGGCATTGCTAACATCTACATACGTATATCAGAGTTTTCCACACAACATGCCCCTCCTCAGAAATCCAGAAGGGTTACATACCAGAAATGCTGCAGAAATGCCAACATCCTGCTTATGATTAGATGTGGAAGAACTGTCTGCTGTATTCACATTTAAGCGATTGGCCCAGAAATCCTCAGCACTGATCACCTGACTCACAACAAGGTCTTTATAAAGCTGAAACAGAACAGGGTCTTCTTGTAGCATTCTGGTGAGAGAATATAATGAACATATTCAACTTCTGGAAGGAAACAATACTCAAGCTGTAGTTGGAAAGATTCTAATGATTGAACACAGTTTTATTTTGTGGTTGAACAGCAAAAGCCAACTCAGCTCCTTTTTATCCCCCGTAGTTCATTCCGTAGTAATCAGAGACCTTTTGGGTAAAACCAAGACAGTGAAAGTAAATGGAGCAGTCTAAAGAACAAAGGCTAACCCCGTTGAGTAGGAACATTTAGTTTTACTCATTTCTGCAGCTCAGTGACACAAAGGTTCCTGTGCTTTTGTAGTACTGTGTTGCGTACTCTTTTGCACATAAGGTGAATGAGAATTAGAGGCAGTGTTCCTGAGATGTCCCGCAACCGACTTCTCATGGTTATGTGCACTTGGAATTATAAGCACCAATGGCTTGAACAGTATTAATGGAATAATTCATCTCATTATTTTACATGGTGTCTCACTTTTTCATAATATGATTTCTTTGAAGTATCTTACTCACAAATACCTGCTTCTTCAAACGCAACAAATGGTTTCTTCTAATGGCTTAATCTCTTCTAGCAGTTTAATAGCTTCTCAGTGACAGACAACAGGGCAAAGGGCTAAAAGGACATCAGCACTGCTAGTCATAGGTTCTAATCTCAGTCCTGAATCGAATTAAATGTTAGTGCTAAGGCAGTTATGTTCTGAGTTTTTGCATTCTCATACACGTAACATAAAATAACAACAACCCCACATGTTCCCTTACATACTAAAAGAAACTGTACCTGAAACACCCCGAGAAGCTATTATGAAACTGAAGGACAGAAACAAATGCTTCCCCTCTTGGAGCCAAATATTTTACATACACTTCTAATTTTCAAAACACTGATGAGGTTGCTATCAAGGTTGCTGTGTGGTAGGTTACTACTAGGAGGAACCTGAGGCTCAAAGTGATGACACAATTTGCCCATAGCTGCACAGCTAATAAGATGCTAAAGTTAAACCCAAAGAGAAGTAATTCAGTATATTCCTACATTATACTACAGTAGCACGGGGTGTGTGAACTAATAACAATTTATTAGTACTATACGGCCTCGTCTTCTTTTCACTGCTATTGAGTTGATGTTGACTCACAGAGACCCTACAGCCCTATAGGACAGGCTAGAGCTGCCCCTGTGAGCTTCAAAACCAGTGGTTCTCAACCTGTGGGTCACAACCCCTTTGGGAGTTGAAAGATTCTTTCACAGGGGCCACCTGATTCCTAACAGTAGCAAAATTAGTTCTGAAGTAGCCAACGAAAATAATTTTATGGTTGGGGGCGTCACCACAACACAAGGACCTGTATTAAAGGGTCGTGGCCTTAGGAAGGTTAAGAACCACTGTTCTAGACTGTAACTTCTTCATGGGAGTAGAAAGCCTCATCTTTCTCTGATGATCGGATGGTGTTTTTAAACTGCTGATCTTGTGTATCATAACCCAACACATAACCAACATGCCACCAGGGCTCCTATTATATATAAGGCCTAGTATCTCTGTAAAAGACATTTCAGTCCCTGTTACCTGTTTTTCTCTTCGAGTTCCTTATTTGCTTTCCTCTTGAATTTGGGAAGCAACTGCTGGAGAAGGTCTTTGACAGCATCTCGTTCCTTCACTGCAGTGCTTTCACTGGAGAAATGGAAGTTTGTTGTGTCCCCTGCATGCAGGACCAGCTGAAGCTGAATTTTAGCTTTTCCTTCTGGACTGATTTTCTGGCCTAAAAAGCAGCACACGAATTAGATCAGCACACGAATTAGATCAGGAATTAGATAATGGAATCGGTTACCTATCCTCTCAGTAAGATTTAGTTTTCCTCTGGGCTTTAGCTGACTTGTTCCAATTTTGAAGTATTTGTAGAAATAAATGGGTCAGAATCCCATATAATTAAAGCAAGGCTAAACAAAGTCACTGCAAACATCCTGCTGCTACCTCTGGGTACTAATGGGTTTTTGCTTCCATTCAATGGGGGTAGATCTTTTTAAAGCTTTCTATAACACAACTAGGAGCCTTGAACACATCCTGGACAGAATGCTCCCAATACCACCAAGAATAAAAATGAGTTTTCATTAATTACAAAAGGGAACTATAATGTTGGTGACTCCTTTAACTAAATGATCAAACAGCCACATTTAAGGTGGTATAACCTGACATCATATGCTTTTTGAGGTGATGAATTAAGAGATAAATAACCACTGATGATGCATTCTTGCCTAGGTTTAACTGGAATACCATCATGTGTTTGGATCTTTGTAAGAACTATAGATGTAGAGAAACAATTAAGCAAAATTAAGCAAAACCTTGAGGAGACAATCAGGCACACTTGTATAGTTTTAAGGAAACAAAAGATATAACTACATATATTCATCTAGATTGGATACTGATTTCAAAACAAAACACTTTACAGCTATTAAAGACATTACAGGGATATCCAGAATAATGTAACAACGGCCTGGGTACTTACTATTAAAATTTCAATGGTGTGATATCATAGGCAACAAAGGTGCATAGACACATATATAGAGACAGCACACACAATACAGCAATTATGGCACATGTTAAGAGATGAAGTATCTTAAATAACTTACAGTAAGCTAGCATGCCCCACTGTTTCATTCTTCCATATCAGACTACCATACCTTTTGCTGTACTTTTCCTTAGTTACTGGTTTTATCTTTGCTCTATCTTACGTCGTCCCTGAGGGGGCTCCTTCTGAAACTTTCTGACTAGTTAACTTCAGCCATGGTAAGAAATAATGCCAATTTCTATTTTAGTCAACATTCAGTGGTTTCTTTCAGAAAACAGGCTTTCTTTTACACATTAAAACTGAAGATGGACATATTTGGATATACTGTTCTCTACCCACTGAGATTTTCTGAGATAAGAACATTCAGTGTAACTGCATTATAAAGTTACAGGGCTATCTTTTGAGCTAAGACAAAGGACAAAAAAAGGAGGGGGAGAAAGGCAAATACAGGCAGTTCCTAATTTATGAGATTACAGTATTGCAATGTTGGTTCTTATGACTATGATCAAGAACTTGTAATACATTTGTTCCACACACAGTTTTCAAGGTGGTACTGTTGGGAAGAGTACAGCTAGAATGCTCCTGATCAGTGAGGACTGTGTTTCACGCATTCTGCACATGTTACCAGAAGGGACCAGTCCCCAGAGGACAGCATCATTGGTAGAGTCGGGGAAAAGGAGAAGACTGATTAAATGGATGGACACAATGGCTGCAACAAGGGGCTCAAACGCAGCAACAATTGTGAGCATGGCACAGGCGCATGCAGACTTTCAATCCTCTGAGTTGGAACCGACTTGAAGGCACAATTTTCAGCATGAAAGACCAATCAGTGTAGGCAGTAGAGAACTAGGGTGAATTTTTTCCATTTTTATTTCTTTTTCTCATGTCTATCCATATAGGATAGGTAGAATAACCAAGCAAGAGACAAAAATGGGGCCATCAGCTCTGGGGTGACATGGGAGAGGAGGCGGTGGGAGAAAGGGCGGAGGGAGCCAACAAACCCAGAGACAAGGGAACAATAAGAGATCTAAAATTGATGACGAGGAGGTCGTAGAGTGCTTAATGAGGTTGGATCAAGTGCAGTGCAGCCAAGAGAAAGTACTGAGAGTTTAAAGAAGGCTGAACATGATAGCAGGACAGGAGGAAAGTAAAAAGTAGAGGAAAGAAGTAGGAGACAAAAGACATTTACAGAGGTATAAATTTAGGAATGTATATATGTAAATACATTAACATAAAATGATAGGGATAAAAAAAAACCCCAAACAAAAAAATCCAATAGGGATATAGGTCTATGTAAATATATTTAAATGTTAAGCAGTAAGGTAGCAGATGGGCATTGGGCCTCTATTTAAGGACTTCCTCAGTGCAAGAACAGGTTCTAATAACCTGTCATTCTGTTATGCTCACCTTCCCAACATAATCGCTGAAGACAAAACAGGTGCATAAGCAAATGTGGTGAAGAAAGCTGATGGTGCCTGGCTATTAAAAGATATAGAGTCTGGGGTCTTAAAGGCTTGAAACTAAGCAAGCAGCAATCTAGCAGGGAAGCAGCAAAGCTCAAATGGAAGAAGCACACCAGCCTGTATGATTACAAGGTGTTGACAGGATAAGGTACCAGGCATCAGAAGACCCCAAACAAACAAATATATCAATACAAATTATGGGGGTTAGGAGTGGAGACTCAAAGTTGATCTGCACAAAATTGGACATTCCGTCACAGAAGGGTCACAAGGAAAGAACGAGATAACCAGGGTGCAGCACAGCACCAATGGAACACACAATATTCCTCTAGCTCTTTAATGCTTCCTCCCCCATTTTATCATGACCCAGTTCTACCTTACAAATCCAGCTAGACCGGAGCATGTACACCGGTACAGATATGGGCTCTGGACACACAGAATCCAGGACAGATAAACCCCTCAGGAACAGCAGTGGGAGTGGTGATACCATGAGGGTAGGGTGATGGGGTGGGTGGGAGAGGAGGAGGAATGGGAACTTACTAGACTACAATGATGTATAACCCCCCAACCCCCACCCCTGTTGACAGCAGGTGGTGTAAGATATGAAAATAATAATTTATCAGTGGTCCATGAGGGTGGGAGGAGGGGAAAAAAAGAGGAGCTGATACCAAGGGCTTAAACAGAAAGAAAGTATTTTGAAATTGATGAGAGTATATGTATAAATGTACTTGATATAATTGATGTATGGATTGTTATGTGCTGTAAGAGCCCCAAATAAAATGATTTATCAAACAAACAAAAAAACTATGGTGAATTTTAAGCTTTATTTTTTTGTGGCTAACCTGATTTTAGCACGGGGCAACGGAGAGCTCATCTTGGTCATTTCCAGCACATCCCCGGACTAGGGCAGCTGGTCATACCTATGAGACATTTGTAAACTGAACTGCGCACTTGATAAGTTGAGGACGGTCTGCTTTTGGAGGTGTCATGTTGTTTGAAACCTAAACAGTATTTGATTTAGGAGCAAAGTTTCTTTGTAGGGTAAGAAATGAATCTATAGTAATGGTTGGTTAAGATAACCCAATTTGTCAAGTGCTTTATTGATTGGTCTATCCTCAACGTCCTCTATCCAAGGGGGAGTGGGGTGAAATGCATAAAGTCCTTTAAGAGGAATTTCACAGTAAAGGTTCTAAATCTTAGTATTCACCGGGTATTTCTAAACCTGATTATTATTGGGCTCTGGCAGTTTCATAATGTACTGTCAACTCGAGTGAAGGGGTGGGGTCTAGCCTGTCATTCAGGTCATAGTCAATGAAGCCTCTGTGTGGGAGTAGACTTCTCCTGTGGATTCTGGGATATTCTGTCTTCATCCCTGGAGGTGGGACACACAGAATCTGTCTGCTGGACAGTCCTGTTGCCAAGCCATATGGAGCTGTGCTGATTGCAGCCAGAGCCCTGGAGCTGGAGGAGGCACATGCAGACCCATGCCAGCACTGAGATGCTTCCACTGCCACTGGATCCCACAAGACTTTCCACCCACTGGCCTGTGATCTTCCTGCAGTCTACATCCCATCATTGTATGTGCTGCAAGTGTCTGTAGAAGAATTTATGGACTAGTGTCGGACATATGGGCTGATATCTGACTTAGGGGCTAATATCAAACTTATGCACTTGATATGGACTAGGCTGGGATGTTTTCTTAATATAAGATTGCTCAGTTATATACAGCTTTCTTATACACATGATTGTCTCTGGATTTGTTTCTCTAGTCAACCCGGACTAACACATGGGTCATACAGTATCATGTCCTCAGGGTAATCAGTTCAAAGTTCACCTTGCAAATTTGAAAAGAGGATTTTGATCCTAACCTTCACATTAGAAAAAAAATTAGAACTAAATTACATATGTTCTATTTAGATTCAATATATTTCAACAAATGATAGTCATATAATCAGAGATTAATCAGAAAAGTTATTTAAATGGTACATTTTTAAAATAGGGCAATTTGGTATTCGTTGACATTTTAAATGCATGAGCCACTTGAACCAGTGTGTTGAAGGGATGTACACAAGTTCAGAAGTCTACACAAGTTCAGAAAGGTATTAAGTGTACAGATCTAAACTGCACCACTATTTGCAGCAAAAAAACCTGGAAATTTCCTAAATGTTCTTCAACAGTTGACTATTTAAATATTAAGAATGTACATCCATTCTGTGGAGTGTTATGCAATTCATAAAATAAGGCATATGTAATCTATATGCAATACATATATATAAAACTGTAACACTATTATTTGAAAAGTAAAAAGAACAGTGTACATGCTGCATTTCCATTTTGTAATTATTTCTATTCGGTTTAATTTTTGTTGGCATAATTTTAAAAACCACTTATTCAATCTTATGCAATTAACAGCAAATATGATCTACATTAGATATTCATACATAGCTGACTTACATTTTATATCTGCATACATATGGCTGATTGTAAACCTATCTTTGCCTTCAGGTGCCCAAGCAATTCTTTCTGCCATGAGGTATAGCGCTCCATCTTGCTTCTTTTGGCGCACTTTCTTTACAATCAGTAAAACTTCTTCAGATGAAGTTGCCATGACGTCTAGAAGGTACCAACAGAGGGGAGGAAAATGAGGAAAAAACCCACTTCCTTGAAATCTGCTGTCAATTAAGCTAGTCAAGTTCATAAAGAAAGACATAAAGGTAATACAGAGTATCATCAATACTATGGAAAGAAGTCACTGTTGGGATGGCCCTTCGAAATTTAAAATCCAAACAATAGGCAATTACCAAAAGGAGGGGGGCAGTCTCTTTGCTCAAAGTTGAAGGCAAAACTTATACGGCATTATTCCTTTAAAACCAAACTTCACTTTACTTCCATCATATATGTAAATTTATTTAATACTTACACTTACTGATGGAGCGCAAAGTTAACAGTCTTTAGTATGAGTTACACCTCAATATAAAGAAAATAAAAATTCTCACAAATGGATTAATAAATATAAGGGAAAAAACACTGAAGTTGTCAAGTATTTCATTTTATGTGGATCCCACAATGAACACTCATGGAAGCAGCAATCAGTAGTCTGCAACTCGTACTGCAAAAATCTCTTCACAGTGTTAAAAAGCAAGGAAGTCACCTGGGTGACTAACGGGAGCTCGCCTCAAGTATTTTTAATTACCTTACACGCATCTGAAACCTGGACAAGGAATCAGGAAGACCAGAGACAGTGACATAAAGGACTTCCATGAAGAAAACAAACTCTCTCAGAAAATCTCTCACAGTGGGACACACCTTTGTCTCATGTGCTTTGGGCAAGTTGTCAGGAGGGGTCAATCCTTGGGAGACACTTGAGAGAGAAGGCCTGTGAGCTAAAAAGAGTAAGTCCCTCAATGAGACAGACTGACACAGCGCTTAACAGAGGGCTCTAACATCAGACAGATTTCCAGGAGGATGCAGTACTGGCAGCATTTCATTCTCTTGTACTTAAGGTTGCTGTGTCAAAACCAATTAGATGACACCTAACAACAATGGGTCATTAGACCGCAAATGATTTCAATGTTTTCTTAGTTGTCTTACATTTATTTTACAATGAGAAAAGTAGTTATTAAAAAGGTCTTCCAAAGGGATTATTCCCTATCAAACTGTTTTTAAGGTAACAAGGGAAAGTTTAGGGTCATTGTGGGTAAAAATTAAAATGGTATTTCCTATTTTCACTTGTTATGTTAAATTTTTATACTATGTATGGTATGTATCACTTATTTTTAAAAGTTTAATTTATAAAATGGTAAGTAACCATCAAATACTTTATTATCACAAAATTATTATAATAAATAGCTACTTTTAAAAAGCCATCTGGAAAGCTTGACTCACATATATTTTAGGAAACATGAATTACAATGTAAGCAAGACAGGGGGTGATTTGTTGAGGATCCGTGATGAAGTATGTCATAGTTGGAAGAGCAGCAGTAAGTCCAGCTGAGAGAGCAGGTTTCCAACTACGCTTTTAAAGAGTGGGCTGGGCTGGGGTGGGGGTGATTGGGGGAGGGTGTTTTTCATCCTTTCTGAATTTGGAAGGCAAGGAAGAAAAGAAGACAGCAGAAGTTGGAGGACAAGTTAAGACTATAGAACCAATTGTTATTAGAATCACCTACTTTAAATCGATATTGGGGAAAAAACGCACCACCTTCCTTGCCATATATAACATGTAAAACCATTCATATTAAAATCCATTTTAGCAAACATTAACAAAACAAATAATTGGAAGTTATCCAACACCATGTATTACTAGTTGTTTCACAGTTAATTTGCTTGGTAAATCCTTCTGCTCAATTCCCAGGGCAGATTGTTTGAGGGTGAGAGTTCAGTAACCACTGCTTGGGAGCTAACAGAACTCTTATGAGACACAGAATTAAGAAAAGACGGGTATATGTACATTTAAATAAACCAGCTTAGGTGAAAACCTAAAGGATTTTCTACTTTATGAATTAGTCTGTCAAGAGACTTCTTTAAATAGCAAGATCTTCCAGTAATAGCATTAAATACCTGCCGTTAACCAATTCATCTGCACACAGAGAATACGCTTTCCCCTTCCCATCAACTGACGTTTATTCATTTTTTTCATTTCACTATAAGCTCCAAATGTACTAGGTAATTTATCGTAGCTATTATTCATTTATGCAATTCTCTCCAGTGTTTGTCTCCCCAGAAAGTCTAGTTTTCTGTGTTATGAATGGACAATGCTTCTGACTGCCATCAAGTCCACTCTGACTCATAGTACCCTAGTACAGGGTACATCAGCCCCTGTGGGTTTGAGACGGGAACTCTTTCTGGGAGTAGGAAGCTTCATCTTTCTCCTCACAAGGGCAGGTGTTCAAACTGCTAACATTGTGGTTAGCAGCTCATTTCACCCAAAGGGCTCATTTCTAAGATAACTTTTACTCTCCTTTAAAGTTATGTAATTTCCCCCTCATTTTGAAATGAATGAGCCAACCTCTACTACCAACAAATTCTTCCTCACAATTACCTTCTGGACAGGAAGCTTTTAAATCACTGAAAATTCTTTGAGCCTTTTCTAGGACTAAAATAAGGTAGTAAATAAAATTGTTCACACAGACTCTAGCTACCTACAAATTCGACAAACTTGGGAATATAACTCATTTGTATGCCACGGACTGCCTATACAAACCCTTAAGCTTCGTGAGGGAGGGTGAGGGCCGCTCACTGATAATAAAGCACTCAGCTGTGTCTGGCCCATATGAAGGGTCCAAAAACATATCCGTTAATTTAAGATCATTGCTGTTACTCGGGGTGAGACAAGGTCGAGACACACGAAAGATCTTTGCTCCTATCTCCTCTGCAAAATTCCAGAAAGCGTGATAGATCTGAATTCACCTAGCAGTATACCGTTTTCCACATATACCAATAATTGGCTCCTGCCTTTACAGGGAAACAGAATTTGAAACTGTTGAGCAGAAATCTGTGTCACTGCATCTCTGCATTTCCATTATCTGCATTCCTCTTTCAAGTGTGTAGAAATAAATGGGATATGAGGCAAATGTACCACAAGTTTCTTAAACCTTACACAGAGAGGTATATTACTGGAATGAGAGTTATTCCCTCTGGTAGAACGCAAAAGGAAATTCCGAATTCTGCTAGTCACTGGCAATCCAAAAATGTTTTAACCTTTGTTAGTACAGCACTAGCAGGAGTAAGAGCTGAGAAATATGTAAAGAATGGTCACAATGTACTGTTTAAAGGCCAGTTACACAAACAACTAAGGGTGATGTGGCAATTTTAGGATCATGTACCTTTTCACTTTACAGCGGTGCAGGGAGAGGCAGGAGGAGGAAAACGCAAGGTAAAGGAGGTATGTGCCTATAACTACTAATAAATACTGTGTGTTAATAGTATGTTATAATAGCAAGAGATGAGCAGTTAGCTGGTAACCAAAGTGGAGAAAGGAGGGCCTATCAGGCCTGCACTACCACACTGAGGGCACATTGAGATTTTGACTTGGGAAGGGCACTGAAAGCAGGAAGTGAGAGAGCAGGAAGTGTAAAAAGACATTCCCTATCCCCACATAAAATCAACAGAGTCCAGAAATGGTGGGAAAACTCAGGATATACGAGACAATATCTTGATGGTAGGAAAAAACGGGACAGAGAAATTGGCTTTAGGGTGGAACCACATACCAGATACAAGGCACAGACCTTGAGGGCTGCACTAATCATTCTAGTAGTTCTACAGTGCATGCTCCCTACCTGCTTACATTAAAAACAAACAACCATTTCTATTGTAATTGTATCTCATATCATCTAGGAGACTTAAATGTCAGCTGCTGCACTGCTAAGGGTCAGCTGAGTGAAGGAAACAAACCAGGTTTATTAATGGTTCCATTCTACCCATTTGTCCTTTAAGGAAGAGCTGTGGCAGTCTGCTTCTGTAAAGATGATGGCCCAGGAAATCCAATGGGTCAGTTCTACTCTGTCTTACAGGGTTAGTGAGTCAGAATTGATGGGATGGCATTGGGGTTTTTGGTTTTGTTTTAAATAGGCACATACCTCTAACCAGAATCTAGTCTTCTGTAAGCTATAAGTCTGCTACTAAAGGTTACTGTCTAGTCTGTTGGTAACTCTCCTTTTAATTGCTCTTTGGCTTTTCAAAATCCATTTTAAGGGCTGGCAATTTTGGCTTAATTACCAAAGTGCAGACCAGCAGTTTTCAAACTGTATTCCAACAAGATGAATTTAGGATAGAAGGAGGCTGAGTAGGACAGTCATGCTACTGTCCCCACTCCCCAACGCAAACGCAGTTCCACCAACACGGACAACGTAACCCATTGGGATTCCAGATAAGGCTTCATCGGGGAAATGGTTCCACTTCTTTAAAATGTTTGAAACTCAAAAGCCTGGGTAATGAGAATATTGGCTTGTGTGGAACCAACGCTAACTGTGAAGCCTTACTTCAAATCACACAGCTTCTGCATGTTTGAAAATTAGGTCTCCTACTGGACAAAAGATAAGTATTTATATTCCTCTTTTTACAATGGGCATTTAAGAGAGTATCAATTCTACCTCTGAGAACACCGAGAGAATATACATCAACTAAGTTTCCATGTGGAGATTTTTCATTGACGATCAAACTGGGAAGTGACCAAATTGGGAGGGGGGGAGGGGGACGGACTGGACTGGCACACGTCTGAAGAGTGCTAAGGTTTAAAAAGCGGTAGGACTGACAGGTGGAGCAAACGGTGTGTAGACAGGAAGGTGTTCCTCTCCAACGGAAACCGAAAGATCCCATAGCACATGCCCTAGCGGGAAGGGCTTCTCTGGCCGGGAGAGGCCTTCACGTCTGATTCTCAGGACCCAAGGTTGATCGGGCTTCGGCTAAGCCTTCGAATCCTTGCCCCTAACAGATGAACACGATTCACATGGGCAAGGCCATTAGGGGTCCCTTTACCGTTTGGGGATAAGAACGGGCAGCCGGGACACAGTCCCGGGAGCTGTGGCGATAGCGACAGCGGCGCTGGGAACTGCTGGGGTCCGTGCGGTGCTGCGGAGCCCCTGGGCCTGTCAGATTCTCCGCCGCCCGCCCACCCTCATGCTGGGGTATAAACTTACCAGGTCGGAGCTACGGCTCTGGATCGAGAGTCAGTCCTTGGGCCGGGTCGAGTCGCGTTCCACCGCGCTTAGAGCCGCCGCCCGCAAGAGGCTGAAGCCCAGCAGCCGTCGCCGCCAGCCGCGCCTCTGTTACTAGGGGGTCTCGCCTCCATCGCTGGCTGCGAGAACTCCAGGGGCACGTGACCGGAAGTGCGAAGGCGGGCTTGTGGGGCACGTGACGCGAGAGCGCGGCCGCCATGACACCTTCCGCCAGCTTCCTCCCGATCCCGCCGCTTCCCGCCGACTGCGTTTCCCCTCACCGGCCTCGAGCGGCGAAGGGTCTCGGGATCCTGGCCGACCCAGCCCTTTGGCCCAGCGCTCCTCCAGTCCCGGTCGGCGCTGCATTTTCTGGCGTCCGCGGACCGCTGTCCGCAGGCCGTAGAGAGCGGAATTGCGACGGCGGCCTGTGGGGGAGGGACCACGCGCAATGAGGGGGGCGTGACTGTCACGTGACGAGGAAGTGCCGTTAACCGCGTTGTCCCCGCGTCCCCGGCGCTCGTGGATGACGTAAGACAGGGAGGGGCGGGTTGGCGGGCGAGATGGAAGCTGAGGTGTGGGGTGAGTTGGCGCCGACGTTGAGTGGAGTGTCCGCTGGGATAAGTCTAGAGGTGGTGGAGTGGACCTGGGGTCTCGAGACTGCTGGTCTGTGAGCCTGACCCGGGCCCTTTCCTCGTGAGGAATATAGTAGTAAAGTTATTATTGTTGAAGAGGTACTATTAGTTCTGCTAGACCAGGAATTACTTGGGGGCGCGAACTCCTGTAATAAGCATTCTGTGAAATTGGAATGGATGTCTTAGTGAAATGAGTCGAAGTTTTTGTCCGAGAGGAGAGTTGTCATGACTTTTCCAGTGGAAAGATGCCCGGTAATAGAAAAAGGGAGAAAATGTTTTTGGAAATACTGATGGTAACAAGTGTGCTTGATAGAATTGATGTATGGATTGTTATAAGAGCTCTAAGAGCCCCCAATGAAATAATTTATTAAAAGTTAACAAAATGAATGCAATGACATTCGTCTTGAGTCTCAAAAAGAAAAACAAGAAAAGGAGAAATCTCTGCGCATCAGTTCCTGTATTTTTGCGTCCTCTCTACCCTTTGCTTTTCTAAGGACCTGTGTGGAAGAGAGTGCAGTGATCTACTTTTGATCTATGAGCGGCATACACTGTGGGGGCATTGGTAATCTGTACTATGCAATGAGAAAAAAGTTTTCTTAGCCATGCCACTTTAAATTACCATTAAATTAGGTGGGGGAGTGGAAAAAATCATTAGATCTAAACTCAGGAGACATAAATGAGAATCGAATTTAGACTCTGAACTTGGGCAAACTAACCTCCCCAAAAATGGTTTCTTTCACTTTGGTAAGCAATGGTGGTGTAGTGAATTACTCATTTGTACCTCGAGTTCCAAGGTCAACTGTTCAAACCCACTAGCCTGCCCTCAGGAGAACAAACTAGGCTTTTTACTGCTGTAAAGAGTTACAGTCTCAGAAACCCACAGGAACAGCTCTACTCTGCCATACAGGGTTACTGTGAGCTAGAATCGAATCGATGGCAGAGATTAATTTTTTTAGTTGCGCAGTTTTTTTGGTAAGCTGGACCTGTTACAGACTTCACAGAAGTGACATTTAAACGCAACTTTGAAGATGAAGAGTTTTCTCATATGGATGGTTTAAGAAATAGCACATGTGAAACAGCAGATGCACAGGAAGTTCAGAGAATGAAAGGGGAACAAGACAACCCAGTGTAGTCGGAGCATAGAAGAGGGGGTATGATGGAACATGAGGCTGAAAAGAGGAAGTAGAGATGAGATCATGAGTGGCATTTAAATTATCTTGGAGGGAGGGAAGTTATTGAACTGAATATTACAGTCCCTAAGTAGTTGGATGAGCACAGAATAGCAATGCGAACATACTCGAACTAGACACTAGATTTCTATATTCACCCCAAAGTGGCATTAGCTGAGTTTTCTAAGAGGTCATGCTGCACTGTGAGTTCATACAGAACAAAGATCTAAAACCCAAAGAAATTTTTCACACAAAATCAAAATAAACGTAAAATGAATGTACCTAGATAACAGGGTAAAGGAAAAATACCAGGTAAATTGAGCCAAATTGAAAATTGCTATTAATCAAATGTGACAATGGAGCATCAAAATGCTGATAATTAAAATAGGCAATATGTACATGTAATCTTGTGATTGTCTTATCAAGATGTGTTTTTCTAAGTTTTAAGTTCTTCTCACAAGAATGATATATTCTGACAAATCAACCAATCAAAAATTCTTGTTCAAAGTTGCTGATAGTATTATATGTAACCAAACCCAAACCCAAACCCACTGCTAATAGTGTTGATTCTAATTTATTCTGATCCTATTCTATATAAGTTCTCTGAAATCTTCATTGCTTGAGATTAATTATTTTAAATCTTCACTAGCACTATAATTGAAATAATTCAAAATTCACCATAAGTTAAATGCATGAATTCTGCAGCTGTCCTTATTCAATATCTAACTTTCACATATGGGTGGGATAATTGAAAATATCATGGCTTGGGTCAGGCCCACCTTAGGCCTCAAAGTGATCTTTTGCTCTTTAACTCTTTGAAGAGGTCTAGTGCAGTATATTTGCCCAATGCATTATGTCCTTTTTGCTTTATTGCCTTGTTCTGTTTGCATTATTGCCTCTTTGTCCAGGTAAAGATTGTGCATGAGTACAGTGAGTGTTCTGGAATTCCAGTTCTTCTCATAGTTTGTTATGATCCACACAGTTGAATGCCTTGGCAAAATCTGTAAAACCCAAGCAAACATCTTTCTGATATTCTCTGCTTTCAGCTAAGAGCCGTCTGACATCACTGATCTCCCTCGGGTCATGTCATCTTCTGAAACTGGCTTGAATTTCTCGCAGCTCCCTGTCAAGGTACTGCTGCAACTGTTGTTGAATGACGACAAAATTTTACTTGGATGTGATACTCAAGATAAAACAAAAACCACTGCCATTGAGTCAATGCTTACTCATAGAGACCCTGCAGGACAAGGTAGAACAACCCCCACCCCCACCCCCGAGTTTCTGAGACCATTTAACTGCTTACAGGAGAGGACAGCCCATCTTTCTCCTGAGGAGCCACTGATGGTTTCAACCTCCTAATCTTGCAGTTTGCAGCAGGGGTTCCCAATATTAGTGATACTGTTTGATAATTTATGCACTCTTCTGGGCCATCTTTATTTGGAATGGGTACAAAAATGGATCTTTTCCAGTCGATTAGCCAGGTAACTGTCTTCCAGATTTCTTGCCATCGATTAGTGAGTGCTTCATCAGCCTGTTGAAACATTCCAGTTGGTATTTTGTCAATTCCTGGAGCCTTCTTTTAGCTGATGCTTTCAATGCAGTTTGGATTTCTTCCTTCAGTGTCAGTGGTTCTTGATCATATGCTACCCTCTTGAATGGTATATGTCAACCAGTTCTTTTTGGTCCCGTTACTGTGTGTTCCGTATGCTTCCTGCACCGTTACCAGCCCAAGGTGTAACCCACTTTGCACCAGGACACTTCGCTATAAGTACACTGTCGTCTTTCCTTCTGAGGACTTCTGAGACCTTTACGGCAGAGTGCACTATCATGAAAGATTCCTAAAGACAGAAAAAGCTTCACAAGGCAAAGAAATGTAGCAGAGTACTATTTTCCAGCCGAGGGGGTTAGCCAAGTTCCCTCTCAAATTTTAACCATTTCCAACCACCTACTCACACAATTAGATGAATAGAATTATGGAGGGGCTTGCTTTAATTTCCTGGGGTTTTTTAGGTCAGGGAATGATTGTTCTATGTAATGCCAACAGACTGTTGCATGTACCGTTACCTAAATATGTTGGTTTTCCAAACTAGATGTTAGGCACCTTCAGAGAAGGGATTGTCTGTCCTCTCTCACATTTCCTCATGTGTAGAACCTAGTCATTAAATATAAGCTGAGTTAATGGTGAACCTTAAAATTTATTTCTACAAGTTTCCTTCAGGTGGGAAACTGTCTGTCAGGAAACATAGTTTCAACTCCTTGGCTCCATGGCTCTTGTGCCAGTGATTCCAGACGCCCACAGCCATGTGCTCGCTGAGTTTGAGTGTCTGGATCCATTACTGTCCACCCTGAGGCTTGACTCCGGTCGTCTGAAGGTGAGTTTCGTGGTCCTCATTTTCATATTTCTGGGTGCTGTTACACAATGTCCTTCCCGGTAGTGCTTATGTTTCACGGAAACATGGGTGTTTCCACCTACCCTAGTAATACTCTGCACTGAGGTAGCTTGTGCAGAGCTCTTTCCTGATTGAGGTTTTGAACCGTCATTTGAATCCTTTCCTAACCATGGTCATCCTTTCATTTTCTCCCTCACTCATCTTGCCAAAGGAGCCCTAGGTGCAGTAAGTACTTGGCCACAGAGAGGTCTGTGGTTGCAGTCCCCCCCCCCTCCCCCCCCCCTCCAGCTCTGTGGGAGCGAGCTGTAGCAGTCTGCTTCCAGAGAGGTTACAGCCTGGGAGCTTGTGGCCAGTTCTAGTCTGTCCTTTAGGGTGACCATGAGTTGGAACTGACTTGATTGCAACAGGTTTTTGGTTTATTTTTTAATTTCTTAAATCTTGTTGTCTTCTCTCAGAAAGTAATATATTTGGTTAAAAGTAAAATAAAACATTAGAAAAACAAATTAAAGTTTAACTGTGGTGCAAAAAAAAAATAGTATACATGAGTATGCCTTATTGCATTTTGAACAACAGGAGCCATTGAAATTATATTAATTCCCCAACACAGATTTCGATGTAGTCTTCATTTCAGGGATTAGAGCCCAAGTGAGTTGGCTTTCTGGGGAGAAATATGTTGCTTCTCTCAAATCCTGGGTTCTCTGTATTAAATCTAGGAGTGATGTGGCAAAGGACATGTCAGAACTACATTCCAAGGTAATTTCTTTCACACACGTTTGCTACCACCCCAAAGCACCTTTCTAGTCTCAGAAAAGAGAGACTAGGAAGTATTAGGCTACATAATAGGGCAACAATTATGAGGTCAGTATCAGAAATGATTTCAGCTGCATGGCAGAAAATCCCTTACTACTAGTGACTTAAGTACTAAAGACATTTGTAACCTCACTGGAAGGCAGTGTTCTAGGTGTAGTGCAGTGGCCCAATGGTAGCCCTGAGAACCCAGACTGATTCTCCTCTGCCATCCACCAGGTGTTGCCTTTTAGTCACAGCTGCATGGTAACTGGTCTGGCTCCAGACTTGGTATTCCAATTAGCATCTCAAGCAAGAAAGAAGGGGTTGAGGGCAAAAAACTTCCCCTTCAAATCCTGCCATTTTTTCTGGGTAGGTGAAACTTCCCAAGAAGTCCCTGGCAGGCTGCCTCTTACTACCTGGTGTTTTGTCACATGGTTACCCTCACATGCAAGAGAAACTGGGCAAGTGAACAGATAGCTGTTCCAGTCCCTGTAGTGGAAAGCAGCACGGTTGGAGAAGGCTGGGCTGTCTGCTAGCCAACTAATACTTTCTTCCATGTGGTATTGGGCACAGCATGGCTGCTGCACTCTGGTGGGAAAGTCAAGGATTCAGAGGCTGTGGGGAGACTGCAGAGCAGTGACCCCTCTGGGCAGTCGCACATGCCCTAGGAGCCGTGGCTCTTTGAGCTGATTGCGCAGACAAGAGCTGATTTAAGTGCGTAAAGGATTAACAAGGAAATTATTAGCTTGGTTACCTTATCCCCGGAGGTGTACTTGGTCTTGCACCGTTGGAGTCAGCATTGGAATGACCTAGTCAAATTACACAAAATAGTCTAATAATTAGCCCTTGCCAAGAGACAAAAGACTGATCTACACAAAATGGCCCATTCAGCCATTTTGAAGTTCAATTAAAAATTTTAAAGGCACACATGTTCTCCTATAGTTTTCACTGAGTTAGAAATTGAGAGTGAGTGCTATTTTGTGGTGGTCATTTGGGTAATGGCTGGGGCCAGGGGGAGGAAACTGGAACATAAATCTTCCTCATTCTTTCCAATGGATCGTGCCGTCGGTTATGATTATCTCCTCCTTGTGTTCACATCTTCAGTGCACGAGCCTCGCTGTCTCTCGCAAGTGGCTGGCGTTGGGCAGCTCAGGAGGAGTCCTCAATCTCATCCAGAGGGAAGGCTGGAAGCACAGGCTTTTCCTTTCCCATAGGGTAAGGGAAAGGGTGCCCTGCCCCAGATTCTCATACAGATGGTTTCCCCATTAAGCTCATGATGAGTAAGAAAAAAATGCAAAAACTTAAGATTTAGAAAGCACACACACACACACACACACAAAAGTCACACACACATTTCTGAGAAGCTGCCTGACATTTTTCCTTTGTGCTCTAGGAAGGTGCAGTTTCTCAGGTTGCCTGTTGTTTACATGACGATGATTATGTTGCTGCAGCTACCAGGTGAGGAACTGTTTCAAAGTTGCCTGATCTTTTCCAAGTGTATTTTCAATTGTGTGTGTGTGTGTGTGAGAGAGAGAGAGAGAGAGAGAGAAAGAGAGACCAACCATCCTACTTAGTCTGTAGCTGTGCGGATGGGGTTTAGCTCTGCAAGTCCTGTGTCCCAGGAAACCCTGTAGTCCAGCAGTTCTCAACCTGTGGGTAGCAACCCCTTTGGGGGTCGAACGGCCCTTTCACAGGGGTCGCCGGATTCATAACAGTAGCAAAATTACAGTTATGAAGTAGCAGCGAAAATAATGTTATGGTTGAGGGGTCACCACAACCTGAGGAGCTGTACGAAAGGGTCGTGGCATTAGGAAAGTTGGGAGCCACTGCTTTAGTCCATGGCAAACCAAGACAATTGGCTACCGAGTGTTTGTGGAGAATGCTTATTTGTGATAACAGCATTCCAAAGCCTTAAGAGAGACATAGAACAGAGATAGTTTAGCACAGTTAAGTTCCCCTATTCTGGTCTGCGACTAAAACAAGGAAATTAATACCTTAGTGTTTTACTTCCTCCTTTATATATATACTTGATGTCCTTGATAAGCCAAACCTGTGGACATTGGGTTGATTCCAACTCATGGCGCCTTAGATGTAATCGACTGGGACGGCTCCATATGGCTCTCTTGCCTGGAAGAAGATTGCACGGTTGTTGTTCCATGCACCATGCATGTGCACCATGGTGGGTTCAGACGTTCAGCCTGTAGTCTAGGAGTCGTGTGCTAACGGTGTGCCACCACCCAAGAATATTCTTATTCAATTAAACTGATGTGATTAACGTTGACCTATTTCGCCCTTACCAAAAGTTGGTTCTGTGACCTATTCTTCCAGTCAAGGTTTTGTAGTAGTTTGGGAATTAAATCAAGAGCGTCGTGGGAAACCGGAACGAATTTATGTGTCTTCAGAACACAAAGGCCGAAGGGTTACAGCTCTCTGCTGGGATACAGCTGTCCTTAGAGTCTTTGTAGGTGATCATGTGGGGAAAGTGTCTGTCATCAAACTCAACACTTCTAAACAAGCAAAGGTGAGAACTAGTCCTGCTCCGTAAGCGTGTGAGTGAGACGTAACGGTGCTTTCTTATAGAACTTTCAATTAAGGGAGGTGATTTTGTTTACTCTTTCTCAGGGGACTTATTCAGAGCCCAGACTACTCATTTTGTGGAGGTCGTTTATATATAGCACATAGGATCACTTGTTTTAGCTTAATGCTATTCTCGAATGCCTTCTGTGAGCATTAACTTTAACAATTTACTTATTGGCTGTTGTAGTCCTCGCTAACCCACATGTATAGTTCATGTGCATAAAGCATTCTTGAATGCCATATTTTTAAGAAAGAAAAGATGCCTATTTATTAGTAGTGTGAACCAAGTGGCAGGGAATGGCACCCATTGTCCAAGCTTATGGTCTTCTGGTCCAAGGGTAAAGAAGACTCGTGGTTGTAGGTATATTTTTTCTTAGGAGGAATGCAACTTGTGAATGGAATCATAAAGGCTCCCCATGGACTGTGCTCGGCTGTGCATTGCCCTAGGTAGGATTCCGGCCACAGTAATTGACGGGCCTCAAGGGCTGGCTCCCAGCTTACTCTAACAATGCTTGAGTGTGTGCTTCAGCCAGAGCAGGTCCGCTTCGCACAATTGCTCTGTGGTTGTGCCACAGGGATGACTCATTGCCCATTTGCTTGTTTCCATGTGGCATCCTGGTAGGAAAGAAATGCCTTAACTACTCTTGATTAAATTGCTTTATTGTAATTAGTACAGCAGAATGGTTGTTTTTTTTAATTTGCTAATGATGACCAGTCAATGTTGCCATTTGCTTCCTTGAATGTTTTTGAGCCAAAACATTTACCTTCCCCCACGAATATCTGAATATCCGTAATTTACCCTTTTTTTCCAAAGGAAGACCGGTAATCTATAGGAGACAATTCTTGCTTCCTCTCTTTCATTCCAACCTAAGATGAGATAATCACAAAGAGAGCTTCATAATTTTCTTCTGTAGTTATGCCTCCAAGTGTTTCACACTACTTTTAAATGAGTGAAACTTGGATATTTACCTTGTTTTAAATTTTATTTTGATCTAAAAGATGAAGAGCATTTATTATGATGAAACGAATCTCATTTCCCCCTCCTGTTCCTTTCAGGGAGCTGCTACCTTTGTGATGTTTCCTGTTCAGACGATCACGACCGTCGACTCGTCCATTGTGCAGTTAGACTATTTGGATGGAAGACTACTTATATCTTCACTTACTCGATCTTTCTTATGTGACACTGAAAGGTATATTGACCAACCATGAGTCATCAGAAACTAGAATTTTAAGGCTGAGTGGGACCTAGAAATCATATAGCCAAACTCTTCAATTCTATTATATAGATACTAATGAGGCACCAGCTCTAGTCAAGGTGATGTTAGAAAGAGTAGAGAGGATAGAGAGTCTCAGGTTACTCTGACAGAATTCATAAGACAAGTATTCAATTAAGACAGCGGTTCTCAACGGGGGTCAAATGACCCTTTCACAGGGGTTGCCCGATTAATAACAGTAGCAAAATTACACTTATGAAGTAGCAACGAAAATAATTTTATGGTTGAGGGTCACCACAACATGAGGAACTGTTACAGGGTCGTGGCATTAGGAAGGTTGAGAACCACTGAATTCAGTTAAGTAGTCAATTAAATCTATGAGGCAAGATCTAAGTGTGGTGAGAGAATGCCAGGCCTTCCTAGATTGAGTTTTTTTGTTCTTTAAATTTGTTGTGTACTTAATAGGATTTTTTTTTAATGAATGATAACATAGGATGAAGAATAAAGCTAATATTTTAACAGAATCTTAAAGACCAGAGTACAATGTCAAAGAATGTTGTAGAGATGTGATTAACAACAGAATAGGAGACTGCAATCAGTGGCATGGAGGTGGACATGTCTGACATCCTCTGGCTTCCATATTGCCCTGCTATTGGAGTCAGACAAGCCTCCTTGGTCCATTCTTCTTTTCCTATGCTGATCCCAACCACTCCTTCCACACCACTCTACATCTGGGCTGGGTACTTCAGTGCAATGGCCACACAGAACTCACAGATAATACTCACTAGTATGGGGGTTATTAGGGAAGTTAAATAGTTTACCACAAGTCTGGATCAGAAAGCCATAAGGATACAGTTATTGTCTCCTCAGCCAGCAACACAGTCTCTCTCCAGTTGTGAGTCTCTCAGTCCCTTGACCTTTGCCTCCATGGGTCAAGAAGCCAGCTGACCCAGAGTTCCATCGTCTCAGGCCAAACGGAGGAGAAGGTACCCCATAGTTTGGGTGCTGCCTTTCTTGAGTCTGTGCCACAGTTTGTGATGCATCTGGTCTTGCGTCCTCCACCCCTTCACACAGAGCTCTGGAATGTATTCGTCCAAGGCCATCTGGGGTTCCCTCCCCTCTGCCACTTCACAGATGCTCATCCTTACAGCGGGGTAGGTGGAGTGTGGAGTAGAGGGGTGAGGACGGGGCGGCAACAAAAACTGACCAATCTTCTCTTTTAGTGTTACGCCTGCCATATTGGCATAGCCCCACTCAGCCATTTGGTGGGAGTTACAGAGACTTGTGTAGAAGAGCCAAATTAAGAAATTTTACTCCACCTCAGGAACAACTTGAAGTGAACATTATATATCACTGCTGAAGTTCCTGAGCCATCCTCTTTTCAAGGAAATCCTCACTGACCAGCGAGGGTCTGTGTTGGCCTTGGCCAGTTACCATATTCCTCAGCGCCATCACCAGGCCAACTCAACACTGTACTGTGTCTTGCCCTGAAATAGTCTTATCAACTTTGTACTGAAACCACTTATAGCATCCACTTTTCAACTAAGTAACAGATTGACCCATAAAATAAACAGTATCATCTGTGAGCACTAGGCTTCTTTACAGAAACATGTTCTATGACTGGGCTTCAAAAAGATCATGGACAAATTGAAGGAAAAGGTAGTAGAATGTGGCCAAGAACTCTTTGAAGCCACTTTGTAGAAGAGGCCAAATGGTCAGTAGTTACTCTAAAGCAAAGGTGTTCTGGGAAGGGGAGCAGCAAACATAGAAGAACAGAAACGGAACTTCCACAATGGAAATAATAAGAATGTTGACATGGCGTGCTCATTTAACCCACATGTGAAAACAGACCGGCTGGGGTGTCCTGCCTACGTTAACTTTGTGAGTCAGAAGGAAAATAAAAAACAACAACCCAAGGCTGATGCCTATCAGGCAGAGTTCAGACATACCCTCTCTCTGCAACTTTTACTAATTCTGGCACCAGCTGTCCCTCCCAGATCAATTTCGACTTCTCTGCTGGATTTGCTAATTAGGTGCAGAGGCTGCACAGAATTCCCAGGCAATGCTTAGCATTATGGGGTTTATTAGGGAAAAGCTGTGTCTGTAGGCAGGCCTCTCTGGCTTTCAGCCGCTCTGCCATGCCTCCACGTTATCTCAGAGCTACCTTGGATACACTCCTTGGGCCATTATTAACTCCACCTTGAGAATTTGGCAAAGTATTTGTCAACTCCACAGTGCTTAATTATTCTTCATGGATAGATTATCATTTCAAGTTTACCAAATGGATTGATTTCAAAATTTGAATGAAATTCTGATGATAACTATCGAGGTGGTTTTAAGGACCTAATAAAATGGTCTGTAAGGGCCCTCGTCAACTAGACTCACTGCCATCACGTCGATTCGACCCTCCAACCCTATAGGACAAAGCAGACCTGCTTCTGTAGGTTTCTGAGACTCAGTGTTTACAGCAGTGGAAAGCATCATCTTTCTCCTGCAGTGGAATGGCTGGTGGTTTTGAACTGCTGACTTCATGATTAGCAACCCAATGCATAACCCACGACACCAAGAGTTTTTAAATTAAGGAACGTGGAGGTTTATTTTTCCCTAAGTGCAGTAGAGTTGCTGATTTCATTTCAGAGGGTACCATGTAGCTAGAGTTGATTTATAACAGTAACATAGAAACTGTTCCAGAAACAACATGTTTTACAAATTCCCACTTTCTGTTAGCTAGAATTCAGTTCTGGGAACATGGATGCTATAATGAAATATTTATGCTTTACATTTTGTTTTATTTAAACCTATATTTCCTCCCAATGAATAGCAAATATTTCCATTTTTAACCTGGAGCTTAGACATGAGCTTATGAGATGGGATGCTAACCCTGCTAACCACCAGTTCAAAACCACCAGTTGCTCCACAGGGAAAAGATGAGGCTTTCTTCACCCCTAATAAGTTCAAGTCTGGGAAACTTAGGGGTAGTTGTTATACTTTGTCCTACAGGGTCCCTGTGAGTTGGAATCCACTAAATGGGCAGTGAAGTTTTTTTTCAATCCCCTAATGACTAATCACAGTGATAGATATGAATTTGTTCCTGCTGTCACCCACTGTCTGTTTTCTGTCAATATTGCTAATGAACAGGGTGGATCCCAGGAGGAAATATAACAAATAGAAATAAAGAGCTATGGTATAGGGAAAAGACATTGGGTATGAAGTGAAGTGGTCTGATTTTAAGCCCTGATTCCAGCACTTTTTAAACGCTCTGGCATGTCTGTTGCTCTCTTCAGAACAGTATAGATATTATGGTAGTATTAAGGATTAAATAAATTAATGCATACAGAACTACAACATGCTTGTCATTCTTGTTTGTCTGAAAATGTAGAATGCAAAGTTAATGAGCATACACTGAAAATGAGTTGATTTGCATTCATTTAGCAAATATTTACTCCATTCCTTGGGCTTTTTAGTGCTGTGTTGGGTACCACAGATGATACAAATAAGCAGAAGATTTTTTTATTTCTCAAATAAGGAACATAAATAAAAAACTGTAACTTTCAACATTAGTCTGTATAAATTTCAAATTATTTTCACATCTGTGTTCTTGTAGTATGAACCAAATAAATAACATGGATCTTCATTGAATTATCTGAGATCACATAGTAAATTTGTGCTAGGGAACAATTTAGGTCATTGTCTAATAAAGATCTTGATTTATAGAACACATTAATGTAGTGAATGTGTGAACACTACTCATGGACTAGAAATGGTTCTGTACACTGGAAAGAAGAAAAAAATGGCCTAATCCTGAAGAAACTCATAATCTTATTCAAATAGACATAGTTGCCATGTATCATTTGGTAAGTGCTATGAAACATAGCACAGGAAACGTGTGTACTTCTGGGAGTACCTAAGATATAAGGAGTCAAGGAAGTTTCTCAGAGGAAAAATGTTGGTGCTAAATCATGTAGACTAAATAGCAGCTGGGCAAAGGACTTGAATAACTATTTCACCACAGAGGATAATCAAATAGCTCGCAAACACATGTAAAGATGTTCTGTTAGCCATCAGAGATGCAAATCAAAGCCACAGTGAGATACTATTTCACTCCCACTCCGATGGCTAAGATAAAAGAAACACACACACACACAAAGGAAATAGCCAATGTTGGTGGCGATGCAAGGAAATTAGAACCCTTATGTATTGCTGACGAGACAGCCAAGTGTTATAGCCATCATGGAAACAGCTTGGCTGTCCCTCATAAAAACTGAAAATGGGGCTACCACAAACCAAAAGAAGAAACCAAAGTGGATGTCAGAAGAGACTCTGAAACTTGCTCTGCTCTTAAACATACCGTTGCTAAAATGAATCGAAGAATTGAATATTAAAAGTTAAAGGGTAGCTCTTGAAGGCAGAGTAAAGCATTATTGTGAAATGGCAAAGCCTGTGGTTAGAAAACCAAAAGGGAAGAACATACTCAGCATTATCTCCAGTTGGAAGGACTGAAGATAATATTCAAGCCGTATTTAAGGATTCTGTGGGCAAGATATTAAATAAGCTTCAAAAGGAGACGGAAGGAACTCACAGTCACCAAAAGAAGACAAGACTAGCTGGCCTGTAACCGTTTAACCCTAGCAGTCCTCCAGGGTGAGGAACCAGTGGTATTGAAGGAAGAGGTTCAAACTGCACGGAAGGCCTTACTGAAGACAGACAGAGGCTCCAGGAATTGATGGAATACCAATCGAAATGTTTCAAAAACTGATGCAGCAGTGGAAGCACTCACGTGTCTATGCCAAGAAATGTGGAAGACAGCTACTTGGCCAGCCTACTGAAGAGATCCGTATTTGTGCCCATTCCAAAGAAGGGGAACCCAACAGAATGTGGAAACTATTGAACGATGGCATTAATATCACATGCGAGTAACATCTTACTGAAGATAGTCCAAAAACGGATGCAGCAGTGTGTCCACATAGAGCTACCAGGAATCAGACTGAATTCAGAAGAGGACGTGGCATGAGGGATTTGCTGACATCAAATAAGCTTTAGCTGAAAGCAGAGAATCACACAAAGATATTTCCTAGTATTTTATTCGCTGTATAAAAACATTCAACTGTCTGGACCATAACAAACAAAATGGGGGAAATGGGAAACTCCAGAACACTTCATTGCGTTCATGTTGAACGTGTACACACAGCAAGAGGCCCCCAGTCCAGCAGGACAAGAGGATATGGTGTGGCTTCAAATTAGGGAAGGGGCGTATATCCGGATCTTCTCTTTTCACTGTACTTACACTGTATGTTGAACAAATAATCCAGGAAGACGGAGTGTATGACGAAAAACCTGACATCAGGATTGGAGGAACACTCATTAAGAACTTGTGATATGCAGCTGACACAACTTTGCTTGCTGAAAGCAAAAATAATGATCAAAAACTACAGCCCTCAGCATGGATTATAACTCAATGTAAAGAAAACATAAATCCTTACAAATGGTTCAGTAGACAACATCATGATAAACGGAGGAAAGATTGAAGTTGTCAGGGATTTTATTTAGATCCACAGTCAACACTCATGGAAGCAGCAGTCAAATGAAAGGACATACTGCAGTGGACAAATATGCAGCAGACACAAGACTTTTTTAGAGTGTTAAAGAGCAAACTGACCCTTCGAGAACAAAGGCGTGCCTGACCTGGGCCATATGACTTCAGTCATCTCATGTTTGTGAGCTCTGGACAGTGATTAAGGAAGAGTGTAGAAGACTTAGAGACCAGGTTGGAGAGGTAAAGCAACAGCTTCTATGGAGTGTCCAATGAACATTTTACAATGTGACTTGGCAAACAGTAGGGTTTTAAGGATGTATGGCTTGGTGGGATTCGTTTTTCATATTCAGAATGAACTTTCTTATTAATTATTAGCCCTCGGTTGGTGGGTTCCTCCACTACTCATCCGTCAGTTTGTCATGCGGTGAGGATGACACAGGTCGAGGCAGTGCTTCATTCTGTTGTATGGAGGGTGGCTATGCGTTGTAGCCACTGTACCCAGAGACAATAACAAGAAGCTGATGTCTAGTTGTGAAGTGGTTTCCTTCAGGGTCGTGAGATAATCGATGCTTTAAGCAAAGCTAGGCACTACTTCAGCCTTCCCATTTTATTGTGCTTGTCAGGGTACTGCTAATATGAATAAAAGGACATGGGGGGTGGGGGGAGGTTTATTATGGCCAGCCTGATTGTAGTGCCATTGTTTTGTTTGTTTTACTTTTTGGTAAATAACTGCTTTTATTCCTTTTTGGGGTGTTAGAGAGAAGTTTTGGAAAATTGGCAACAAGGAAAGAGATGGAATGTATGGAGCTTGTTTCTTCCCAGGGAGGTGTTCTGGGGGACAGCAGCCCCTGGTCTATTGTGCTCGCCCTGGCTCCAGGATGTGGGAAGCGAACTTTGATGGGGATGTTATAAGTACGCATCAGTTCAAGAAACTCCTCTCATCACCACCTCTCCCTGTGATTAATCTAAGGTACTGATCTATGGCTGGTTGGGGATATTTGAGGAGTTTACTGAAGAGGTTGGGTTGAAATCACTGGTATTCTATGTAGTAAAGATTTTATTATGCCTTGTAAGAATGAAAGAGTTTTTATTACACAATTCAGGTAATCAGTTAACCTTCATATGATTAGAGTGACTTGAATTAGTTAGGCTGTTGAGTTTTTTGGAAGGCATTGTCTATTAGGGGAAGAGATATTTTAAGTTGCGATTAAATCATTCACAGAGGTATTTCCTTCCTAGATCTGAACCTCAGTATGATCCAACGGTTGGACCCTCCCAGTCTCTGTCTTTCCCCAAACTCTTGCATCTTAGGTAAGTTTCTCCCTGTGATCCTGAAAAAAAGAGAGGAGGAGGAAAGAACACAGTTGGGGCATTTCTGCGTGCAAATTACGTGTCGTCTTATGCTAGGACTTTTTTACATGTTTTCTTCATTTCTATGTGCTATGTTTGAGCACATTCAGAACCAGACTCACTGCCAGCAAGTAAGAACAGAGTAGAACTGCCCTTGTGGTCTTGCGAGGTTGTAAATCTGCATGGGAGCAGAAAACCTCGTCCTTGCAGTCAGCAGCCCAGCTCACAATGCACTGCACCACCAAGGCTACCTGTGACTGTGCAAAACAAGGCATTTCTTTCTTTCTTTTGTGTAGAAGCAGTTAGCTTTTAATTTTTGTTTTGCACTAAATTATTATTGCTTTTTATTTACGAAATTATCTTTAGAAAGTTAAAAATGTTATCTAGAGTGTTCTGCATAAAAGAGGAATGAAATGAGAGATCCTGGAAATATACTTCCTTCCTGTTTTGAACGGACCTTAGCTTATTGAGAAGTGTAAAATTGTCAGAAAGCTTTTGACAGTTGGAGGTAGGAGCTACTGATATTCTTTCCCTCACAACCTACCTAATATGGTAGCATGATATAATGATGAAAGCTGATCTTAGATTCAGTATCTTTATTAGCAAGGAGGCACACAAATCGTTGCGCTAGTCTTTTTTTTTTTTTTTCATAAGATTATTCTTTTCATGGGGCATATGTTTTGTTGTTTTGTTTTAAAATCATTTTATTAGGGGCTCATACAACTCCTATCACAATCCATACATACATCAATTGTGTAAAGCACGTTTGTACATTCATTGCCCTCATCATTCTCAAAACATTTGCTCTCCACTTAAGCCCCTGGCATCAGCTCCTCATTCCCCCCCACTCCCCGATCTCCCTTCCCTCATGAACCCTTGCTAATTTATAAATTATTATTTTGTCATATCTTACACTGTCTGACATCTTCCTTCATCCAATTTTCTGTTGTTCTTCCTCCAGAGAGGAGGTTATATGTAGATACTTATAATCGGTTCCCCCTTTTCACCTCACCCTCCCTCCACCCTCCTGGTATCGCCACTCTCACCACTGGTCCTGAAGGGATCGTCTGCCCTGATTCCCTGTGTTTCCAGTTCCTATCCGCACCAGTGTACATCCTCTGGCCTAGCCAGATTTTCAAGGTAGAATTGGGATCATAATAGTTGGGATGGGGGGTGGGGGGATGGGGAAGCATTTAGGAACTAGAGGAAAGTTGTATGTTTCATCGTTGCTACACTGCACCCTGACTGGCTCGTCTCCTCCCTGCAACCCTTCTCTAAGGGGATGTCAAATTGCATACAAATGGGCTTTGGGTCTCCACTCTGCACTCATATCATTCACATTGGTGTGATTTTTTGTTCTGGGTCATTGATACCTGATACCAGATCCCATGACACCTCATGATTGCACAGGCTGGTGTACTTCTTCCATGTGGACTTTGTTGCTTCTCAGCTAGATGGCTGCTTGTTTACCCTCAAGCCTTTAAGACCCCAGACGCTATATCTTTTGATAGCCAGGCACCATCAGCTTTCTTCAGCACATTTGCTTATGCACCCATTTGTCTTCAGTGATCGGATCTGGGAGGTGGCACTAGTCATTCTTCTGCTCTCTGTCCTTTAAGTACTCTACATGAAAGACCCACTCAAGACAGAGGGTTACGGGAACCTTCTATTTGGATTCGGTGCCAGAATCTGGGTGTGAAACGCTAGGGCAGAGAGAGGCCGTCCAGTCCTTGGTTAGCCAGTAATGAACATTTTTTTCTCAAGGGTGGGGTTGCATATTTGTGTTCTGTACTTAAGTCTGTGTATCTTTTATTTTATTGCAGTTTGAAAAATTTACAGAGCAAATTAGCTCCCCATTCAACAGTTTAAACATGTTTTGTGACATTACTTGCAACTCTCTCAGTGTAAGAGTACTCCTTTCACCTCAGTGTAGGAGTTCTCCTCCTGCTTCCTCCCTGGCTTGCCCGTTTCTATTCCTCCACCTCGCCTGCCTTCTGAGCTCTCTTTTTGGGCAAATCCTGCCCTTTGGGTCTCCTACCATGAGAGCAGTATGCTTCTCATGAGTGTTTCTGCTCTCTTTGTAGGCCTGTCTCTTATTTCATTGATGCTGGATCCCAAAAGGTCAATTCCAGATTTGACAGAAGTCTAAGGGTCATGATTTAGAATGTTCTTCCAGTCTCTTATCAGACCAGTAAGTCTGGTCTTTTTTATGATTTTGGATTTTAACATTTTTCTCCCACTCTGCTCAGGACTTTCTATTGTGATCCTGATCAGAATGGTTGGCAGGAGTAAAATGTATTTAGCTTGAGACTTACTGAAAAATTACTTCTATTATCCATTCGGCTAGTTTAGGCATTGTTACAGGACACCCTGGAGTGTAGAAACCAAGCCTTTGGCATGTGAAGTTTTAAAAACACTTGGAATATTAACTCATTGCCCTTAAGGGTAGGTATTAAGATTAATTTACATATATATCATTATATATACTGAAGTATGCAAATGCAAATGGTAGACAGTATAACATAAATTCATAATTCATCAGCGTTAATGGAGAAGGGCAGCTATTTATTTGCCCATAATTTGACAAGGCATATCATTATTAACAAAAGTCCCTCCCTTATTGTTGATGCTGTTAGGTGCCATTGCGTTGGTTCCGACCCATAGCAGCCCTGTGCACAACAGAATGAAACACTGCCCAGCCCTGCAACATTCTCACGGTTGTTCTTATGTTTGAGCCCATCGTTGCAGCCACTGTGTCAGTCCATCTCACTGAGGGTCCTCCTCTCTTTTGCTGCCCCTGTACTTTACCAAGCATGAAGTCCTTCTCCAGGGATTGGTCTCTCCTGGCAGCATGTCCAAATGTGTAAGATGAAATCTTGCCACCTTGCCTCTAAGGAGCATACTTTGGCCATACTTCTTCAAGACACGTTTGCTTATCTAGTAGCAGTTCATGGTGCTTTCAGTAGTCTCCTCTCGCACACACTTCACATGCCTCAAGTCTTCTTTGATCTTATTCAGTGGCCAACCCTCACATGCATATGAGGCAATTGAAAATGCAATGGCTTGGGTCAGGTGTACCTTAATCCTTAAGGTAAAATACTTGCTTTTCAAACTCAAGAGAGGTCTTGTGCAGCAGATTTACCCAGTGCGGTGTGTCTTTTGATCTCTTGACTACTGCTTCCATGAGCCTTTAGTGTGGATTCAAGCAAGACAAAATCCTTGACAACTTCAACTTTTTCTACATTCATCATGATGTTACTTATTGGTCCAGTTATGAGGCTTTTGTCTTCTGAACATGAAGTTGTAATCTATACTGAAGGCTGCACTCCTTCATCTTCATCAGCAAGTGCTTTAAGTCCTCACTTCCAGTAAGCAAGGTTGTGTCATCTGCCTATCACAGGTTGTTCATAACCCTTCCTCCAGTCCTGATGCCACATTCTTCTTCATATAACTACTTTAATGGCCCTTAGCACCATTTATAAGAATTGATGCATATACTGTTAGTACCTGTTTAAACCTTGGACAAAATGGAGAGAAGGCATGTCTGTTTTGCTCACTGTTGTATTCTCAGTGCTTAGCATGGTGCCCGGTATGTGATGGACTCATAATATTTATTGACTGTGCTGTCATTTATGGGGCAGAGAAAAGTCCTGCCTCAGGGTATGCTTTCTAATGGGAAGACTATGATCCTCTTGGTTCTCCTGGGTGTAGCAGTTTAAAGCTCCAGTTACATTCTGTGCTGGAACACAAAGCCCTTCATGCTTTGACTCTGCCTGTTCCCTAGCTTAAGCAATAATGAATGCCCCTTTGAAGTCTTTGCTGACTCCTCCCACAGACTTGACCAGGTGCTTGTTTCCCTGTCCCATTGTCTACCTTGTTCATTCCTCTTGCATCATCACTGTCTCGCTCTTTGAACACCCGGCCCAATACCAGGATGGAAGCGCCTTTGTTACAGGTACAGTGCCAAGCACGGAGTGGAACGCTCTTAAATATTAGCACAAGTAAAGAACTCAACAAAAAATTTTCTTTAAAATGTAAGTAGGAGTGTTTCTTGTTAATGCTGGGTTACTTTTGTCCTGTGATAACTTTTACTGTCACCGCCCCCAAACTCTACAGGGCACTCATATTATTTTGTTCCCTTTCAGTACACTGGCATCAGTTTTCCTCTTTGGCTTTTTAAACTGTTCCATTAGGCTTGGGTCCCAGTCTGTTTCTTATCCGCAAGGGACAACTGGATGAAGTTTGACAGCTCTTAGCTCAGCACCCCTCCCTAATCCTCTTTCATGTAGTTTTATTCCTAAGGAATTTTACCAAGCTCACTGTGAACTCTAGTTCCGAAGTCCTGATCCTGTGTCTCTTTACTCAGAGAGCCTCTGACGGCATGCTTTCCTGCTCGGGTTTCCATAGACAGCCTTTCTGAATCCATCGACTTTGGGCCAGGATTCTGACCTGTTCTTCCTTTCTTGTGACAAAGATTACTTTCTTGTAGAGATAGTGATCTGGTCATTTATTTTGACAGAATGCTTATATTTCCACAAGGTCCCATTTCTGTTAGGTATCACTCTTTTTTTTTAGCCGTGTGGTACCTATATTAGTACTCTTGGGGGCATAAAGGGAAAAACCAAAACACATGATCCATTCTTAAGATTGTGATTTTATTAGGGAGAAATAGGCCTTATTCCTACAAAAAAATTAACCACAAAAAAGAGCTGTGACATTGCGGGACATAGTTGTCAACTGATCCCCAGAAACTGGCTTAGCGCAGGAAGAGGAGAGCTTGTTATGGACTGTGGGGAGCGTTTTAGAGGAGACTAGAACTTCTGCTAACCCCTAATAGATGGCTAGAATGAGAGTACTACAGCTTAAGGGATGCCCTGTGGAATATTTACAGAACAAACTACAGCTTTTTAAACAGAGTCAAGCTGTGATGTGAGGGACCTTTAAGCCCAGGGACAGTGCAGTAGGAGGCTCTCAGGATGGAAGTGTCATTTTGATATACAAACTCTCACTCAGGTATGTGAAGGGGAGAAAACTGGTGCCAGTAGACACATGTAACGGGGCTTATGGGGCGTACTGACAGTGGGAATAGAAAAGAAGAGCAGGGGGAGAGACTTTAAGGCATGACTAAATATGGGAGAAAAGGGCAAGTAGGAAATCAGTCGGGGACATCCTTAAGAACAGCCTGAAAGGCTGGTATTTGGAAAGATGTTTGATATTAGTCCAAGGTGGTCATGGCATATGCAATAGGAATGTGTAGAAGAGACCCCCGTGGGTGGAGAGGAAGGTCAGAGGGTTAGCATTTGGAGATTCCTTAATATAGGTGTTAGTGGCAGCCTTGAGAGAGTCAATGAGATATATAAGGAGAGAAGTATAGAAGGAGAGGGGCAGAGATAAAGAGTAACCAGATCGCTGGAGAGGAAGGGACATGAACCAAGACAGTGTGAGGCCCCAGGGAGCCCCTGGCTGGTCACCAAACCGAAGGGTGACATGAGGCAGGGCGCTGCTGCTTGACAGTAGCTTTTTGAGAAGGCATTGTAGTGGGATCATCCAGACTCCAGATAAAAGGGAGGATAAATGAGAAAGGCCGTGCACTCTGTGGGATATAGAGGGAAAGTCCAGGTTTTAGAGCCAGACTACCTCTGTTACAATTCTGACTCTTACATTCATGTCCAATGGAGTTTCCCAACCTTTGTTAACTACACGTAACTAAGGAGTGAAGATATTAAAAGCTCACAAAGGTTAGCTCTGGTGATAGAGTTAGTAATGCCTTGGGCTGTTTGCAATCACCAGTTGCAAGCCACGGGAGCAAGACAGGGATTTCGACTCTGGTAACAGTTACAGTCTCAGAAACTCACAGGGCAGTTCTACCTTGTCCTATAGGGTTGCTGTGAGTGGCAAAGACTCTTAACTAGAATCCTGCTTCCAGTGAGGTGGTTGTAACATGTTTTTAGTATATATCTTTGTGTTTGCTTTTTAAATGTACCCTTATACCAAATATGGGGAGTTTATCTGCTTTAACAAACAACAGGTAAATCAACCCTAAGCCTTTCTAGAAAATAACTTTGTTTAAAAAGAAGGTAATTTGGGGGAGAGGGGAGGAGGAAGGGAGGGGAAGGGGAAAAAGGGAAAATGAGCTGATTCCGGGAACCCAAGAGGAAAGCGAATTTTGGGAATAATGAGGGCAACAAATGTATAGATGTGCTTTACACAATTGATCTATGTATTGTGATGAATTGTATGAGCCCCAATATATTGATTAAAAAAATTTTAAAAAAAGATAATTAGTAGGTGTCTGATTTTTCACAGTTTAGAATCATTTTAGGCCTTTTTTTAAAAAGTGCATTGTTACAGCCTGAAAAATCATGTTGCAGCGTAATTCACTGGATCACTGTGTTTTGTTTGCTTGTTTTCTTTTTCAGCGAGCACTGTGTGCTGACTTGGACAGAGAGAGGAATTTACGTTTTCATTCCTCAGCATGTTCAAGTTCTCCTTTGGAGTGAAGTAAAAGGTGATCATAGATCTTCTGTAATTGTTGAAGCTCATGCTTGTGAAGGACCCAGTTATTATTGGAAGGCTCTCTGCTCGGTCAGAGGCAGAACTATAGAATGGGGTGGTTTTTCCTTGAAGGACCAGGTGTTTCTCATTGTAAAGTACTGCCCAAGCAAATGTCATCTGTACATTTTTATTCACCTATTTTCTTTGTGGGAGAAAGACAGGTCTTTGCTCCCGTAAAGAATTACAATCTCAGAAAGCCACAGGGGCAGTTCTGCTCTGTTCTAAAGAATTGCTATGAGTCAGAATTGACTCAATGGCAGTGACTATTTTTTTTTCTCAAGAAACATCTTTATTAATACAGTATTTATTTGTCTTCCCTCTGACAAACCCTGAGCCAACTTCTTTCCCCGGACTGCCTGGGGAGGTGCAGGGAAAGCAACATAGGGCAGACGAGACGTGGGACAGACAACTATGGGAGGTGAAGAAGGCTCCTTCACATGGCGAAGAGGGTGAGGAAGGCCACCATCAGGCAGAAAAGCCCATGGCCTCCGAGAGGGCACCGCCCAGGAGGGCGTAGGAGAAGAGCTGCTGCTTCAGAGACGGGTTCCTGGCATAACCAATGATGAGGCTCCCAAACACAGTTCCAATGCCAGCTCCAGAGCCGGCTACTCCGACTGTGGCAGCCCCGGCCCCAATGCACTTGGCGGCTGTGTCAATGTCCCTTGAGACGGTGCTGGTTGGAAGCTGCGACTAGGGATAAGGGAGGTCTGGGAACGTGGGGCTGTCAAGCTGCTAAAGCACTCGTCTGTCAGTGTCTTGGGCCATTTCTGCACCAACACAGACAGTGGTCGGCTCAGCAGCTGGGAGGTGCTCCTGACCAGGGAAGAGGTGGAGACGAATTTGGCGCAGGCGTACATTTTTAGAGGATGAGGGGCAGTAGCAGGCGAGCTGCTCCTAGTGCAGAGAAGACCGGCAGTGACTATTTTGCTTCTCTGTTTAAATAAAAATATTTTATTGTGTTCTCAGTGAAAGTTTACACCGTAAACTAAGTTGCCCTGTAGTGGTCGCTGACCCAGGCTACATTTTCACAGTGTCATTCCCACTACTCTAATTTCCCCATCTCCTCACCTTCTCACCTTTGTTTTTGAGTAGATGTTGGCCATTTGTTCTGATATGAGTGATTAAAATTATTTTCATTTTTATTTTATGAGGCAATCTGTTATTTAGTTAAAAGATGTATAGAGTACTAATTTTCACCTGTTTTTTTCACGGATAGTTTTAAATGTGAGGGGGCTTCAAAAAGTTTGTATTGGAAAAAGCCCATGATCGTTTAATTCCATTGTTGTATTCCCCTCATATTTCAATTTTTATTAACTATTAATCACTGTTAGGGATTGAATGGGTTACTCTACTTCCCTCTCCCCTTACTCTGATTAGAAGTCTTGCTTAACCTCATTTTATGTCTCAGTAGTTTGAGGTTTAAAAAGTGTTGTTTCCTTGTGAAAACAGCAGCCATTGTATATGTCTGGGACAGAAAATCACTCTGTGTGATTTTTTTGGTTAAAACCAGAAGTGGAGCTTTTTGTTGTTGTTCCTGCCCAGTAGATAGCTTATTTTCACTTTTCCGTCCTGTCTCCTTTGTAACAAGAAACAGAGAAAAACCACTACTTGTCAGTCTGGTCAACATTGTTCCTTATGAATCAAGTTCCCTAAAAATTTCCCTTGAAAACTCTTTTTTTAAGTTCTTTCCATATACTCTGGTAAGACAGTTATTTTTGTATGAATGACTCATTGCTTTTCATGCAGTGTTTAAATCAATTCTTCATTGAATATCACATTGTAATGCTCAGAAACATTGGTTTCTGTTCTCTGATGTAAATTTCCCTCTTTATGCTTTATTTTCATAGGAAATAACATCTTAAACATTGGATTTCAAATCAGAGATATATCATTCCTTTATTCTTGATCTTTTTAGAATAGTAAATGTCTAAGACATTTCTTTGCTGAAATGCAAATATAAAAATAGAGATGAGATTCAGTCAAACACAGCCTGTGTAAGAAATGAATGTACTAGACTAACTATAGCCCTTGTGTAAGTGGGAAAGGATGCTTGGGTTAACATCCTGCACGTTCACGCCTGTGGTTTCTGTAGATATTCAGGATGTGGCTGTCTGCAAGAATGAACTGTTCTGTTTGCACCGCAATGGGAAGGTGTCACATCTTTCCTTGTTGTCTGTGGAACGCTGTGTGGAACGCCTGCTAAGGAGAGGCCTGTGGAACCTGGCTGCTCGGACTTGCTGTCTTTTCCAGAATTCTGTCATTGCCAGTAGAGTAAGTCGGAGAGCTTACCTAGACATATTTCATATGAGTTAGTAACACCATCCTACCTTGCGAGATTGTGTTATGTGTGTCTTGATTAGTTTTTTGTTTGTTTTTGAGATATATAAGTATTATATTGAAGTCATCGAGAGCATGAGAGATAAAAGAGATATTACAATGATGCAGTCAGACACATTACATGGTAGCATTGCTCACCTCAGCCCAGCTTGGTGGTCCACGTGGAGAGAGGGGGAAGGGCAGGAGGGCAAGGGAACAAGGGAGAGAGGATGGGAGAGGAGAGGGGGCCAGAGAGACCCCAGAGAGAGAGAAGTCGGAGAGAGAGAGGTCAGAGAGCCATTAGTTGTTTTTTATGTGCCGGTCTGACGCACAGATACAGCAGCAGCAAGTCTCCAAAAAGAAGCATAATGAAAGGATTTCTTGGGGTGGATGAGAAGGAGGGCTTGCTTTCCATTGTTGTTAAAAATATCCAATAGACCCACAAATTCATTTGAATTTGGACCTTGTTTTAAGGAGGAGGAGTACCCATATGTCTCTGGTTGCTTTTAGTTAAATTCTTAATTTTCAGTTCTCAGTAGATCTTTCACTAGCCTGTTCGACTTTTCAAAGTACTTGTGTGGTTTTATTTTCTATATTAGATCTCTTTCAATAGATTGGCCATTGATGATAGATTCAGTTACAGACAGGAGGCAATTTCATTGTTGATAACACTGATGAATGCTAACTTGTCCTCTTCTTAGGCGAGGAAAACTTTAACTGCAGAGAAATTGGAGCATTTGAAATCTCAGCTGGACATGTCTAGCTGCAGTGATCTAATTTCTCAACTAGACGAATTGATCGTAAAATTTGAACCTTTGGATTCCGCTTGCAGCAGTAGAAGAAGTTCCATTTCATCACATGTAGGTATTTCTGCTTTTAAACATGGTTTTGCTGATTTTCCCACTTTGAGTTGTACTCACTCATCTCAAACCCCAAACCAGCCCCACTGCTATCGATTTTGTGCTGACTCAAAGGCACTGTAGGATAGAGTATTGGCCCACAGGGTTTCTAAGGCTGTAAATCTTTACGGGGCTGACTGCAGCATCTTTCTCTCACAGGGTGTCTGGTGAGTTCAAACCACCGACCTTTGGTTGCAGCCAAGTGCTTTAACAAATGCACCACCAGGCCTCATTTTCTGGCATTAAAAAAACCAACAAAAACCAAACCCACTGCCATTGAGTCAACTTTGACTCATCGTGACCTTACAGGACAGGGTAGAACTGCTCCTGTGTATTTGCGGGCTGTAAGTCTTTACAGGAGCAGACCCCTCAACTTTCTCTTGAAGGGCATCTGGTAGGCTCGAACTGCCGACCTTGTGGTTCGCAGCCCGGCTCATAACCCACTCTGTCACCAGGGCTAACCTTTCCCACCTGTGCCAACTTGTCTACAAGTTTGACTTAAAGAGATACTTAGGAAAAGATCTCATCCGTAACCCAAGGACTGCCCATCAAGGAAAATTTTAACTCTTTGGAATTCTTTCTTACTTTTAGGAAAGTTTCAGCATCTTGGACTCTGGTATTTATCGTATTATTAGTAGTAGAAGAGGCAGCCAGTCCGATGAAGACTCTTGTTCCCTTCACAGTCAAACCCTCTCAGAAGATGAGAGACTTAAAGAACTCACCTCCCAGCAGGAAGAGGACCAGCCGGAGCAGTGTTGTGGCTCACATGGAAGTGAAGGTGATGAGCATGCTCTTTCTGGGTTCTGATGCCAAACAGTCACTTCCGTTGACTTTTCATTGTTAGTGTTAGCCTGTGCACAGGGTTTTCTACAAGCTGTTGTTAATTTGCAGCAGTTTGGTAGAGTCTCCATTCTGACCCTGTAGCTTTGCCATCTGCTCGGCATGAGAAGAGTCTATTTGATTTGTAGTTGTTTTTCCTCGCAGGTATTTAGGATATGATTGGGAATGTACTACTTAATTTCAGTCAAGCAGCAAAGTGCTTGAAAGGGTAGGAGAGGCGGTCTTCACCAAAAAGAGTGGCAAGATTTTGATTCTGACTAACCAAATCATTTTCCATCAGGAATGAAAAAGTACCACAGTTTTGGGGGCCATTTCCTTCACTTTTCGATGTTCCAGCTTTCCTGTGACCGAGCTGTTACGAAGAGATTAATAGAGACTACTGTAAACTTCCTTTTTGACTTATGGGGCTTCCGGGTTAGTGGGGAATGAAGGTACTTGCCTCAGTATTTCTCTGTGGGCCATCTCGTGCATCTTGTAAACCTGTGTTCTGCTCATTTGTATTTGGGTCAGTTGTGATTTTGGTATCCTTCATTTCTTTTACTTTATTCATTTCAGAATGTCGTTAAAAATTAAAAGCTCCCATGGGATTAGGTACGGTTTCTTTTTCCCTCAATTTCATTCATTAGACAATGTTTCTCCTGTTTCAGTGGCGTGTGATGTAGATAAGAATGAAACTTTCCTCCCCTTCGGCGTCCCGTTGTCATTTCGTTCTGCATCTCCTCTCGTGTCTCTTCAAGCTGTCAAGAAAAGGTAAGCCGATTGGTCTGGTCATTTAGCCCCGTTGCTGACTTGACTTCGTTTTATCTCATTGGGTTCTCTGTGCTGACACCAGAAAGGCATTTTAAATGAGCAAAAGAAACAAGAAATTCTCTGCATCATTTCACTTCCAAGAGCAATTCGCTTTTCATTTTTATCACGGGGAAGATGTTATTTTCCTCCTTTGTTTGATTAAGTGGACATTTGAGTTGTTGCTCTGTGTGTGTCTCCCCCAGACAGAGGTCAAGTTTAAAAATACATATTTTTCTCATCTTTGATGGAAACAGTCTCCGTATACATCAGTCATTCCTTGAGCCTTTCTTAGTAGGACTCAACATAGGAGACCGTTTGGACCTCTTTTTAACTACTGCGTGGGACCAGCAGTGGCATTTGAATTTGAAAGACAAGACTTTGTTGCTACTACTTTGCTGACTATCTGCTTCAGACTGGGTACAGAGTTTGCTTAGTAAGAAGGGTATATTGTGACTAGTGAGCAACGGAGTTTCTATGAAAAAATTCTCTGTTATTCTCTGGCCAGGATGGAGCAGATAAATCATATGACTTGCTTGGTTTTAATTGAAAGAAATATTGCCAGCACAACTGTTGTTAATGACCTTTTCTATAGCACTGGATCTTTTCATTTTTCAGAGCAGATCAGTAGATGAAATGAATCATTGTGAATGTTACTTGGGCTTTATGTAACATGTGCTTGGGGAAGTTGCGATGGGCAGAATCTGCCTTTTCTTTTCAGAATCTGCCTTTTTGTAAAGGAGAAGTTGCCTTCTTGGAACTGATAGAACCATAGAATTCTCAGGTGTGAGTTTACCATCTTGCCAGAACTGAGGTGTTTTATCTTTCTTTTTGGTATTTGACTTCTAGTGTTTCCAGTTTTGTGCGTAAAACTACTGAGAAGATCGGCACCCTTCACACCAACCCTGATCTGAAAGTGAGGCCAGAACCCAGTGGAGATGAGCTGTCCTGTGAAGAGGATGTGAGTCCAGTCACCTGCCCAAAGGAGGGCGACACTGAGTAAGCTCTTGCCGAAATCTGTGTGAATTCTGGAGGAGCCAGCTCCTACTTTAAAGAGATCTGTAGACTGTGTCCTGTGGGAGAAGGAAAGTGCATGTATGATCCTGTTCATTGTAGGATTTTTGCATGGGCCATAAAAATTGTGAGTCCCACCAAATGTTGGGAAATGACTTCAACCCACAGCAAATATATTAACCCTTTATCCGCCCCGCTTTTTGCCCTGCACAATCCCTCCTACTCCTACTCGTTAAGCTTATACCCGAGAAGGAGTATACAGTAGATTAAGAGCAGGGGACCAAAGACCTGTGCCTTGTGCTGGCTCTGCTTCTGACCAGCAGGGGACTTTGGGTAAGTTACTGGGGCTCTCTGGGCTCTGAGAGCCTGAGCACTGATGTTGGGCCACGTCCTTTGATACAATATGCTGGTGGTTGCTTCGGCAGTAGAGCTGTCGCAGAGCCCATGGTCTGGCACAGTGTGAAGTGCCATGTCCACCTGGCCTGTTCCTTAGCTCAGCTCAGGGAATGTGTGCTGTAGAGGCAAGCGGTCTCAACACTCATGCAGGGATTGGGAAAGAGTCCCACAGACCCTGAGTATCCAGGCAGGCCTGTGAAATGATAAGTGTGTTATCCTCAAAATAATTTATCACATATACCATGTTTCTAGCAAGAAAAAATTAAAAAGTTGATTATCATGGCATTTAAGGCCACATTAGTCCGACCTTCATCTTGTCTTTCCAGTCTCGTTTCCAATCATAAGTACTCTCACTTCCAGGCCTGTCGGAGAACTGGGCCTGTCCTCAGACTATTCACTCGTTTTCCTCATTGTTGTCCTTTCGTCACAGGTGTTCTTTCACCCTCTTTTCCTAACACAATGTTACCTCCTCCGGAGTGCGTCAGAATAATTACTTTCTCAGATTAGCTGCTTATAGCACCATGCTTGGGCTGCTCTTTAGCTTTTATTGTATTCTCTTGTAGCTGTTCGCAGGCCTCTTCCACCCCACCCCCTCCTTTTCTCCTGCCTGTTCTTGTAACGATGGACTGTGTTTTCTACTTATCTGTTTGTCTCGTGATGTGATGTGAGGCACAGTACCTGCCACTTAGTGTTTAGAAATCCTTGATTAAGGAAGTGCTGATCTCGTTTAAGTCTCTTGTGAATGTTGCTGTTCTCTGTCATTCTTTTCTAGGGGGGAAAAAGAGATAACTCGTCAGCCTCCAGAGGAAGACTGGCTCCAGGAACTCAAAGCTGCAACAGCAGAAGCAATGTGAGTATGCATGAGAACGCTTCACTAGTGACTGGGCACGACTGTCCTGGGGGATCGACCATCCCGGGCAGAGGTCATCTCCACAGAAATCCAGGAAGTCATGACATACTACAAAATTAATGTTCTCTGTATCTTCATCTACTGCCATCATTGTTACGGAGAGTTGAAAAGTAAGGTGTGTTCCAGAGAAGTATATTGTATGGGTTAGGTTTTCTTTAAAGATCATTTTATTGGTGACTCTTAGAACTCTTGTTACAATCCATACATCGATTGCATCGGGCATGTTTGTACATATGTTGCCTTCATTCTTTTCTAGACATTTACTTTCTTTTTTTTTTTTAATCATTTTACTGGGGACTTGTACAATCCTTATCACAATCCATACATACATTCATTGTGTCAAACACATATGTACATTTGTTGCCCTCATCATTCTCAAAACATTTGCCTTCTACTTTAGCCCTTAATATCAGCTGCTCATTTTCCCCTTCCCTCCCTCCTCGCCCCTCCCTCGTGAGCGTTTCATAATTCATAAATTATTATTGTTTTGTTATATGTTACACTGTCCAACGTCTCCCCCCGCCCTCTTCTCTGCTGTCCCTCCCCCAGAAAGGAGGCTATATGTAGATTACAAGAATCTACACCCCACATTCCCTCCACCCTCCCAGTATCGCCACTCTCACTACTGGTCCTGAAGGGATCAACTGTCCTGGATCCCCTGTGTTTCCAGTTGCTATCTGGAAATGTACACCCTCTGGTCTAGCTAGATTTGTAAGGTAGAATTGGGATCATGATAGTGGGAGGGAGGAATCATTTAAGAACTAGAGGAAAGTTATATGTTTCATTGTTGCTATCCTGCACCCTGACTGGCTCATCTTCTCCCCATAACACTTTAGTAAAGGGGTGTCCAGTTGGCTACTGATGGGCTTTGAGTCTC